TTTAAGAAGGAACAAAGACACAAGCTTTGGCACATATAATAACTAACCTGTTGGTAGACCGCTTTTCATGCCTCGTTTTCAAGCACTGCGAGAGCGGACCACGTGGTACTGAAGGTCTCGCGAGGCACCAGCGTGGTGCTCTTGTTGGTCTACTTACTGTACCTACTGTTCTCGTTGAAATCCCATTCTTTCATGTACCAGAGCACCCCTCAACATCTCATTGACGAGGAGTCGCATCCGGGAGTCCTTGCCGATATTCTCAACTCGTCCAGCTCTTCCAGTGACTCATCAAGCTCCAGTGATGGCGACTCGGACTCTAGTTCTAATTCCAACACGACCACTAAACGCATCAAACGAGCTCTTCGTCGCAAGCGGCGCAAGTCGACTTCGAGTACCAAGGAAAATGTGTCCGTTGTGACATTCACCAGAAGTTCTTCCATGCTGACTGGACCTGGCGGCTCGATGATCCAGGCTACCTCTCTCACTTCGGCCGAGCTAGAACCTGTTTTTAGCGGTGATGAGGCCGATGTGGACGGAGAAGGAAGGACTGCTCGTCATCACTCTCGTTCACATACCGTCCACGCTCGCGACTTTGAAGGCGCCACCCAGACCGATCAGACATCCGAAAAATCCAGGAGACGCCACCGCAGATCGAAGAAGTCCAAGCATGTCAAGAAGGACAAGGACAAGGGAAAGTCTAAAGAATCAGAAAAGGAAAAGGAAAAGGAACCCATCGTAGAGACGGCGACCCCAGAGATCTGTCTGTCGACCACGGACTCGATACAACCACATGTTGGATTTGCATCGGATATTCAGGAGATTCCCAATGACGGCAATGGAAAGCGATCGTTCAATATTCGCAACATCTCCGAAGCTGTCAAACCTGCCTTCACATCCGCCAATTTCCCCCATCACCAGGCTACCGGAAGACCCCTTGCAATTCCGATTCGTCCCACATCACAGCCACGATCTGCCAACCGGCCTGTCCGTCGCACTGCTTCGATGCCGGATATTCTTCGTCCTACAATTTCCAGCAATCGACTGGTGCCCACGGTATCTGCACCCGCCCAACACGATGCCACATCGTCGGAAGTTACAATCGAAGTCCAAACGGGTGATGTCGTGGAACCTCAGACGCATTTATCTCGTACCTCTGCCATTATCCTACTGCTAGGGACGACAGGACTAGTCGCATTATGTGCCGAGTTCTTGGTCGGCAGCATCGACTATTTGATCGCCAACAGCGGCGTCAGTCAGGCATTTATCGGGCTGATCATTCTCCCCATCGTCGGCAATGCCGCGGAGCACGTGACTGCTGTGACAGTCGCGGCCAAGAACAAAATGGACCTGGCAATCAATATTGCTCTGGGTAGCAGCATTCAGATTGCACTCTTTGTCACTCCCCTCATGGTCATCCTGGGATGGATTATCAAGACAGACATGAGTCTCTACTTCAGCCTTTTCGAAACAGTCAGTTTGTTTGCCAGTGCCTTTATCGTCAGCTTTCTGATGATCGATGGCCGGAGCAATTATCTGGAGGGGGCATTGCTGATTGCAGCATACGTTATCATTGCGGTTGCTGCTTTCTTCTATCCCACTTGTGATCTGAGTTCCGCGAGTGGTCCACTCGATGGCACCAATCCACAGTGCTAAGATGACGAAGTCAGCGGACTAGTCACCTTTTGGAGGCCAGTGGAGGGAAACCAGACGAGGTATGCGAATTTTCTTTACACTACATTCACTTAGACAGTTCGGGATGAAGGAAAGGACAAACAGGCGGGAAGGACAAGTTGGTCCACATTGAAGGGGGAGTTTTGGCTGCTGTTCGACACACTCTTTATTGGGAAACATGGACATGATCTACTTGCTTGCCTGCGTGCTCGCTACCGCTTCTGCGGGTTCTTGCACATGCCTGCAATTGACAGGAGAGATCAACACGACGTAGTCATATTTGAGCCCCTCATACAGAATATGACTTTGTATGGTTGAGGTCGTACAGACTGTACCTACATCTCCACCATGAGCTATTACTCTTCTATATTTGCTTCCTGGCCCTTCTCTGGGGTCTGTGATTGTCGTATGATTTTCAGTTGCTCTCGTGCCCTCTGACCTGAACATGCGCCCAACGCCATTGAGGAAATCTGATAGTGTCTTCCGTCCACTCTGTCCACTTTGTCACTCGCATTCTGTCCTCTAAGTACAACATGCCAAAAAAGTCAACTACTTCGGATATGTTTACTACTTTGGCTGACCCTAGTATTGGCACCACAGACACCGGTGTAGCCAGGACGTGGGATGGAGTTCCACAGACCGCAATTCTTCACCTTTCCAGCATGGTTGGTCTCACCCTTATGCTCTTTTGGCATTTTGTGGTCTCGGCGGTCGAGGAAACACGGAGCAGGTTGGGGAGGCCGAGAAATGCTTATCATGACATCGTCTTGGTCCTTATCTTCATCTTGCTCTGTGACTGGCAGCTACTGATCCCCTGTAACTCTTCTAACCACTTGGCTTCAAGGGCGCTACTAACGTCCTGCAGCTACCCTGGACTGGTGTCTCCTCAGCAGTTCTATCGACTCGTGTCGCGCGAAACTCCGAGACTCAGGTCTCCCTCCTCGTTCGTGGAAGATGGCACCATACGACGTCAGTTTAGTTGATCAAAGATGGCGTGGGCAGGAAGGCGAAAGAGCTGGCTTCTGACCCTGGTTGAGCACAGTCTGCCCCGCCACGCGATCGATTGCATAAAGGGATCAAATACCTCCATATCGCTATGCCCCAGTCTCGCACCCCGGTAGCCTTTTCTCTGTCTCTGAAAAGGCAGAGTTTCAAGTTGCAGGAAGCCTCTAATTTTTGTCACCAGCCGAATCGCCATGGCTTCTATGCACTCACAAACCAAGAGTCAGAGCCACAATGCGATGGACCTCGCCCCTTCTCCCAGTCGTCGCGGATCCCTGGTCGTGGATACCACGCTCGCAAGCGAGGAAGATGCCGCGGTATTAGCAAAGATGGGGTTTGTCACATCTTCTTCATCGCTTCCATCGCAATCGGGCTCGGTTATAGCTAAGAGAATAACTCTTATTGAAATAGATACAAACAAGAACTCCGCCGCAACTTCAGCATGCTCGAAGTCTTTGGGATTGCCTTTGCTATCATGGGGTTGCTTCCTTCCATCGCGAGTACGCTCTCCTATTCAATTCCAGCCGGTCCCGTGGGCTTGGTTTGGGGTTGGTTCCTCGCTTCGGGTTGTATCTTTGTTGTCGGCCTAGCCATGAGTGATCTCGCAAGCTCAATGCCGACAAGTGGCGGGTAAGTCATCCCATATATGCTGCCTAATTGGTTTTAGGGGCGCCTCCTGTTCACCACTGACATATCGGTAGACTTTACTACTGGACTCATTATTATGCATCGCCAAAATGGAGAAACCCATTGAGCTTCCTTGTTGGTTACAGCAACACGCTTGGGCTTGTAGGCGGCCTTTGCTCGATTGACTGTCAGTGTGCACACACCTCATTGCCCCCTCGCGACTAACTCGGGAACAGATGGGTTCTCGTTGATGTTTCTCTCCGTTATCGTCATTGCTCGCGACGGTAACTGGTCACCAAGTAATGGCACTATCTACGGAGTCTTCATCGCCACTGTCGCCTGTCACGCTGCCATCGCTTCTACCTTGGCTCGTATCATGGGTAGACTGCAGACCGTGTTTGTTGTCATGAATTTCGTGTTGATATTCGCCACCATCATTGCCTTGCCGATTGGTGCAAACAAACGCAACAGCGCCTCCTACATTTTTACACATGTCGAGAACTTGACCGAGTGGCCCACGGGCTGGACATTTATGCTCTCCTGGCTCAGTCCTATCTGGACCATTGGTGGGTTCGACTCGGCGGTTCACATTAGCGAAGAGGCCACGAATGCTACCAAGGCCGCACCGCTAGGGATCCTATTCTCCATCGGGTCATGCTGGCTGTTTGGCTGGATCTGCTGCATAGTGATCGCGGCGTGCATGTCTCAAGATCTGGACAGTATCTTGGGCTCGCCGTTTGGACAGCCGATGGCTCAGATCTACTATGATGCCCTCGGCAAAAATGGGGCTTTGGGTTTTATGGCTCTGTTGATGATTGTCCAATTCTTGGTGAGCATCTCCACAGATCTCACGACTGATGGAATCTGTCTAAGCTAACACACTCAGATGGGTGTCTCCATCCTGGTCGCCGCTTCCCGACAAGCGTGGGCATTCTCTCGTGACGGAGCATTGCCTTTCTCCAGCTTCTTCAGACATATTTCCAAGAAATTCGGCTATATCCCTGTCCGCACGACACTTGGTTGTGCCACACTTGCAGCTGTCCTCGGTCTTCTCTGCTTGATTGCCCCAGCGGCCGCCGCAGCTTTGTTCTCCCTCGCCGTTGCGGGCAACAATCTCGCATGGGGAACCCCGATCCTTTGCCGTGTGGTTTGGGGCCAAAAGAAGTTTAGCCCAGGTCCTATATACACTGGCAGGGCCTCGACCCCCTTGGCGTGCGCTGCCGTCACTTTCTTGGTTTTTGGTATCCTTCTGGGGATGTTCCCTGTGGGCGGCCCCAATCCGAACGCTGACAGCATGAACTACACCTGCGTGATCAACTCTGCAGTCTGGGGAGGTGCTCTTCTGTATTACTATATTGATGCTCGCAAATGGTTCCGCGGACCACAAATCACCCTCGACCTGAGCCAGCTTACCGAGGAACAGGAAGCGGCCTTGAGGGAAGAGGGCCTCAAAGTGGAGGGGGCAAGCGGGCAAGCTGTGGTCGGTGGAGAGGACTCAGTCGATTCTGCCGACACGAAGGGCATTTGAGAAAGCAGATTCGACAGACGACACTTGGGCGCAGAAAGTCGATGGTAATGTCGCTGCCAAAGTTAGCCAGTACCTTCATAAAGTCACTTGGTCAATCCCGAGTACTGAGGCCAAGCCATGAATTAGGTGGATGTAGAAGCCCAGTAACATCAACGCAGATCTCGATAGAAATATGAAGGAACCCTGCATCCGAGGCAGCGTTTTCTCTTGGGCTGTTTGTTGGTGCATGAACAAAGTGCGGGTAAGCGTGAGGAATGGTCACGTGTCATGGTCACGTGTCAAATTCTGCCGCACCCCCTTTACCGCCTAGCCTTGCCCTTAAACTTCTCTGTTTCTCCGAGGCCTAACGAGGTAGACAGAATCTTGCGAGGTGGGATTCGCCAAGGCCGCCGCAGTCTCTGCCAGAGACGCCGACCCCAGCGACCCCGGCAGCCCCGTTGTCGCAACCGGAGCGGAGACCGTCCACGACATCGTCGGAGGAGGTATTGGCCCTCGAAGAGGCCCTTGCGGCGGCCCAGACACCGCCAGAGCCAGAGCAAGCCGACGAGGCTTTACAAGGGGGTCCGCCAATGGCACAGAACCCCCCTTCTCCTCCATCGCCACCACAGACGCCTGGGCCCCAGCCACAGGCCTCTTCACCTTGTCCCTCTCGTCCTCTCCCTCAACAGCCGCAGCAACAGCAGCAGCAGCAGCAGCAGCAGCTGTAAGTGGAACAACTTGGTTGATTAGGGAAGGAAATCTATCTAACGCACCTGCGGATTTGTTGTGCGACGCGGTGGAAATGATTCGGCAAACCTTTCCGATCAGGGTTAGGGCAACAGCAGCAGGAGACTTCTCCTGCCCAGCCCGCCTCCCTGCTCGCAAGCACAACAGGCTGCAAGCCCTCCCGTGCCCGCTCCGGCTCAGGCAGCGCCACCAAGCAGGGTAGTCGAACGAACCGCCAAGAATGGTAGAAAAGGGTGCAAAGGCAAGGCCAGGGGTGGAGAGGGTGCGACGGCCGCTAAGCTGCGAGAGAAGCACGCACCACCGCCACCACCGCCAAGCAGAGTCACGACCAGAATCATGGCGAGAATGGAGGCCATGAATAGATCATCTGGACGAGAAGTCGAACGAGGGCGGCGGCGGCTGCGAATAAGTCAACGGGCGAAAGAGAGATGACAGATGACAGACACGAGAGAGATGCACAGCAACAGATGAAGGATACGGGGTCCCAGGGAGCGGGAGTGGGACTGAGATGGAGAGTGAGAGTGGACGTGAAACTGACATGAGGATTTAGATTGGCTTGAATGGATGGATGGATCGATGACGTCCAGGCTGAACCTGGACGAAGGAGCGGCAGAAGAACAGGGCTGGGAACCTCTTTGATATCAAACAGCGAGAGATACGAAAACTATACAGAGGAGAAAGGACACCAGTGGCTTTCTGGTTTCGATCCCTTCTTTTTCTTCTTGTGAAGCTCTCCGCAATCTCCTGGGACTGTATATCGTACACAACGCTGGATATAGTTGACAAAGAAAGTCAGTTGTACATTTTCCACCTCTTTATATCCCCATTCACCGCGCTCCTGCATGTATTTCCTTTGAACCGGGTAGACAGAGCCTTCATACCTTATTCGGGGCCACTCAAGCCCACGCATCGTTGCTACGAACACGCGGCTTCTTCATACCAGGGCCAGCCGCGGGGACGAATACGTCGGTTTTGTCCTCCACCCGCACCTCGTACTCGTGCTTGACGCGGATTTCGTGTTCATTGACAATCAGCTCGTTCTCGGAACCCTGTCTGCTCGGCCCCCGCGCCGTCTCGCTGCCCGCCTCGTCCGTCTCTTGCATGTGTATGAACCCTTTGCTGTCTTGTCGGATGTGCGACCGCGTGTGAGACCGCGTGTTGGTGAGTTCCATAGTGTGGCCCGCCCCGGAGAGCTTGGAGCGCAGTCCGCTGCCACTGCGTCCGTCGCCGCCGCTACGGCTGAGGCTGTAGTCTTGGTCGGTGCCGCGTTGGTCGACGAAGGTGCGGATAAACAGGCGGAGGATCGGCGCTGTCGTGGCGATCGGGATGCAGTAGTTCTCGATCCTGAAAATTTTGCCCGTCAGTATGTATATTCTGTGCGTTGGATTCGTGGTGAGGTGGGCTTGAGTGTGTCTGTGCTTACTTGACCCAGAGAATGAATGGGACAATGTTCCAGGTAAAGTCCAGTCGGCTTCCCAGAGCGGAGAGAAGGTATGTCTTGACGATCGATGCCACACCCGACAACAACAGTGGACCGCAGATCAATAGTGTCTGCCACAGTCTCTGAGTCCGGATTCCGCGATCTAGTCTCTTGAATCGGGCGAGGAACGAGTTCTCTCGGCTGCTCTGAGCGCCACGGAACATGAACTGCCACAACTCAAAACCGGCCAGATAGGTCAGGGTGAAATCGATGATGCAGTTGAATGCTGCGCAGTCGTCAGATTTGGTGTCAACTACGAAACAAGCACCAACGTACCGCCTTGGACGTATCCCACGGTCGCTTGAACCGACGGTGCCTGACACACGACGGAGCCATCTTCTGGCAAGGGATCCCACATGTAGTGGAAATACGATGCTCGGTCGACAAGTCGGTATGGGTTCGGCCCGCATTGCAGGAAGATTTGCAGGATGGTGAAGAGGTTTGCGACGATCTGTACCACGAAGCAGATGATGACGATGACCCGAAGACTCCGTCGGTTCTGTGCGAAGCAGGTATACAGAAAGAGGATGACGCCCGTCCGTGACCACATGGACGCCGCGACGGCCAGAGGTTGAGAGACAAAGTCCCATTTCATGGCTTGGTTCTTTTGGATCGGCGTGAGGTAGAAGAAATGCCTTCCCAATCCCCGTTGCCAGCTACATCACAGGTGTGGTGGTCAGTATAGCAATCTCTAAACAAGGTCGGTGACTTGCCTCTTCCATATCATCGCCATGTGTCCGACGTCAAATGCGTACCCGAGCGCAAAGAAAAAGTCCTCGAGACCCCATACGCGCTGTGGCTTGGAGACGTTGGGAAGCAGCCATGAGATCCAAGACTTGACGGCATATCGGAAAAGGAGCACGAAGAATACGAAGCCAGTCAGTACCCAGCATCCAACGAAGATGCTTGTCCCTGATAGAATGTCAGTTTTCCCTCTCTAGCTCGGGGCGTTCGACCTCTAACACATACCTCTGTTCACATCTGGTCCATCTGGTCTTGGGACTTCCATGGTGTTGCTCGTTCAAAGCTTGTTCAATGAGCAAGAACTTTGCAGTGGAGAGAGGTATTCCTCGCTTTATCTCAACGAGTACGAAGGTACCTCGTACTTTGTGCTCGAGCCCAGTCTAGTGGAGTCTCGTCTTTCCCTTGCAGAGCGTGACAGGTACCTGCCTGCGAGTAGCTCGGGCAGCAGAGGGACGGACGGATGGACAAGTCCCGGTTACATGTTCCTTGCACATTGGCCGAGACTTCGCGACACAGGCTTGACAAAGCACCCTACGATTGGGCGAAGCATTGCCTCCTCCTACAGACCACAATGCCCTTGGAGCTTGTCACCTCTCCAGTGGGAGAGGCACGGAGCCTCAAACACGCGAGGGCAACGGGGTCGATCCTTGATCCTTGATCCTGCGCACTCGTGGCACTCACTTGCGTGATAGGGCTAGCTACTTACACTGGAGGAAACACGCCTCGGCATAACAATGTCTCTTCGGCCAGCCCCTTTGCCCATATTAGCGTCCTCGAAAAGGTGAAATCATTGACGAATGGGGACCCGGACGGTCGTGGAGACAGATTCTTGGACAAGCAGGAGGACGAGGACTTTGTGCTCACCACTAGAGTCTTGCCTCCGTCGTCGGCTGGTTGAGCAATAGTCGAAGGGGCTAGATAAGAAGGCCAAGCACATTATTCCTACGAGTGTACATGGACTATCAGTGCAAGCACTCTTCGCACGACGGGACAACGCTACCTGCTTAGTATTTCAACGTTGCCCAATATTTCCCGCATCGTGGGCAACAAGGATTTACATGACTGACTCTACATCCAGGTACTCGTGCCAGATATGACTGAATAGTATGACAGGGACACTACCTTACATTACTCTTACGAGTAGGTAGACCTACTCACGCTACTGTACCGTCTGGCCAGTGCTGACCAAGTTTTTGACCTTGCCGAATTGACATCAAACTCGCTAAACACGACGAGACGTCGTTAGTATTTCGCGGCTGATATTCTTGATCCCTTGCAAGGGGTGCTCCACGGCCCGCAAAATCCGTCGGCCGTCGATCTTGCCACTGCGTGCCACTAGCCAGGACGGGTTCGCTAAGGAGACGAGGTCTGAGCGTTGAGGCTACTCCGTAGTTAGATCCTACGAGTAGGTGGGTACCCCGGTCTAATATCAACCCTGTGGATAACACTTCCCCATCGGCAAGCTACTAGGTACTCAGACGCATTGTCGTCACACACCATCACATTCACGCGGAAATCATTGATCACCGCCTCAGGAAAACTGCTCAGCCACCCAATCCAAGAGAGCGTCACAGCCAGAAAAAACGATGCTTATGCTCGGGTACTATCACCCCAGATATCAAGGCTGCTACTCTGTTACGTTGTCACTTCAGACGATCCCAGCTTTCTCATCTCAACAAGACCCTCCCCGGCGACAGGATATGTCTCGAAAGTGACTTCTAGGCCCGCCAGAGCCGCCATCTGCTTCCACTCACGACTGCTCCTGATCCGCCCCGCGTACAGTTGAATCATGGTGGCGTGCATCTTTCCATACGTGGCATTTTTTGCAAACTCGTGGATCAACATGCGCGAGTATGGCGCCATGGCATCTGACACCTTCTTCATCAGGCGCAATGCCTCGAGGTCTGACAGATTGTGGTAGATGTGCGTCAAGCTATACACCAGGGCGCCTTTGACGGGCTGGGCAGATTCGTCCTTGAAGTCCCAGTGTTGAATCGTCAGCTCGTCCGCGTGAGTCTGGTCTGGGTTGAATTCCTGGAGAACGAGATTCTCCTTCTTCAGATGCGGGTACGCTGCCTTGACTTCCAGCAGCATCTCTCCGCGTCCGCCTCCGATGTCGACCATGGCGATGCTGTTGGCCTCGCTTCTGAGTATAGAGCCCAGATCGTACCCAAACGACTGCACGCGGAAGGGCATGGTGCCAAAGCGCCCAAACTTGCCCTCCATAAAGGCCGAGAAACTCGGCATGCGTCCCTGCATGTTCATGATCGAGTATGTGTGCTCGTTGACGAATCTCTCCTCGCCAATCAGTTTATACCCGTACTGCGTGGGTGTCTTGTTCTCCTGGAACGGGTACTCGAAATTGGTGTCTCGAAGTTGTCGCATCAAGAAAGCTGCCGCCCACAGTGGCTCTGTGGTGCTTTTTTTTTTCAGGTTTTAGTCCTTCGATGAGGGGGAAAGGGGGGTCCGTTTCACTTACAAGTGTAACATGCCGTGGAGAGACGATGGCACAATGGCCATGTGTGCGGTAATGGGGTTTACCTGGTATGTTGTGTCGTCGGCGAGGTCGACCAGGCCCAGGCCAGCCATGGCGAACATCGTGTCCTCTACAGGCATCAGTTACACTCTTTGCTTTGCTCGAGGCTATCCAGACCCGTCAATCGCAAACCTGGGATCTTTGTCAGCGAGTGTTCGCCTTTGCAGGCCGATATCGTACATAGCGGGGAAGAGCGTTTGTCTTCATCGCTCCTTTCAGCATCGGATGCTTTGGTCAATTCCTCGGCCGTTGCAATGGGCCCAATCCGATTGAGCAAGGGGAAGAAATTGAAGTGGATTGCTACTGGGACGAACCCAAGGGCCGCGATCTGTGCTCATGGGTGTTATTCTGGTTCTGGCCCAGCAATGTCGTATGGTATCGGTGCTCTTACTGAAGTCACTGTCGATGCGAGAATCGCCCCTGGATTGCTCATTTTCCCCCCCTTTGCACTTTGTCGGGAGAGTGTCAATCTGATGGCCAAGCTCAGATACAGTGAACCACAACTGTAATGTACCAAGTGATCGTAAATGTCCTCGATGTACTCAGTAACTAGTTGTGGAATACCTAGTCGATCTAGCCGACGAGAATAGGACTGACAAGCATCACTCTTCCCAAAACAGATAATGCAATGTTTCGTACGGGAACCGTGATGGGGATTGGAATTTGTGTGATTCAACATGATGGTTCATCAATCCCCTGGTCCTTTTGTGCGTGATAAGTAGCCTCTTAAATTGATTGATGGTTGGTTTGATGTTTGGTTATGGATTCCCCGCCCGCCGCCGGGGAAGAGGAGGTGGCGCATGTTCCGCCGCTACGAAGAGGGACAGGGTCGGTTGATGCCGGGAGATCCACCATCTACCTGAGTATTGAGTAATTGGCCGAGTACCTATACGAGTAGCGATAGCCCAACTAGTTGATTCAGGTGGGTGATGGTGGGCGGTGGGATGATCCTTGTTCGCTTATTCCTTGGGGTCCGGAGCTTGTCCGACTTCAACTATTGAGTATCTCTTCGCATCACCAAATACAAGGCAAAAGACGCTCATTGTATGTGGTCATGGGAAGCTTGTTACTACTTGGTACAGAGCTCCTCTCCCCCCCAAGTCTGGTGATTGGATGAATGTCTTCTCTACAGCCTCAACAACCATCTCGCTCAAGGAAACTAGTTCCCTTTATCTTTCCACCGTTGACCAGGTTGCATCTTGGCCTCGCTTTGCATGGTCTACAAAGTAACCCTTGCAAGAGTCCTTGGCGAGAAACAAACTATCGCCCAAGTGTTTAGTTGGGAGCCTCCTTATTGGGAGTACTCGGTACCGAAGCATGTATCCATGCTTGCCCTACTGTCTGTGGCGCGCTACTCTTTATCTCGCGTTACAGAACCTCTCAAGTACCAAAGTTCAACCCTGTCGCTTTCAACCATTCGTCCCCTGGTCTGATCAGCCTCCTTGCAGTACTTTGGCGCAGTCTAACAACTTCCCCCCTCCAAAACTACATTGAAATGCCCGAACTAAAGACTCCACGACGGGTTGGTTGCCGGATCTGCACTCTTTTTGGCCTTGTAATTACGAGGACCCCTGGGGTCGCATCAAGCCCGGCTCATGTACCTATCGATTCTTGGTTGCTAGTTGTTCAACACTACATGCATGGATGGCGTTGAAGTCCCCTGTTCGTCAATCAACCCCTTGTCTATCCATGCAGAGACAGACTGACAGACATGTCGTTTCTCTACGCGAGGTGGGGGGGAGATGAGACCCGACTTGGAGTCTAAGGGATGAGATCGAGACCCTTTTGCGACTTTCGACCTGGTCTTTGCTTCCAGCTACCGGTGTACTTGTATGTCGAGTGCGCATGGGTCGCTAACTGACCACGTTGATCTCCAGCTCGTGGCTCGCTACTCGGTACCACAACTCCTCGAGAAAATCATCCAGAGTCTCTGACTTCTGGTAAAAGTCCTCTTATTTTTGTTTCGCGCTCTCTTGAGTACGTTTTTTTTAGCCTTTCTTCACAAGATCTTGATATTTCTGTCCAGCGAAAGTTCTATTTCTGGTTCATCCTCTGCAGCAATCATGAGCGCGCCCTCGTCTTCATCCGGGGCTGGTGAAAAGCCAGAGACATCAAAGGACGCTCAGGCGGAGAGCACCGTCGTCGCTCTCAGCAACAGCGATGATGGGCCCAGTGTTCTCGACGGGCTGGGCTCAGACGATAGCCAAAGTCCACAGAATTGGAGTCCGTGGAGGAAACGACTATTGTTCCTTGCGTTAATGTCCAGTTCGATCCTCGCAGACGGGTATGTTTCTTCATCCCTCCCTTAATCAACAATGTCAAAAGCTGACCTTTTGTCGAAAAATAGAGGCATGACTTGGGGTGCGACGCTCGTGGCTCCTCAGGCTATTGAATGGCACACCTCGATCACCCACTCGGCCACTTCTCTCAACTACGGTATCCTCCTCCAGGGTTTCGGCGGCATATTTGCCGTGCCTTTTATCGATGCGTATGGACGGTGAGTTACCAAAAGACAGTGAATGAATGACATTCGACCGCGCCGTGTAGCCTGCTGACTCTCCTTTGTAGCCTCCCCGTGTGGCTCTATCCCCAGATTGTTACCCTCTTTGTCGTCCTTGGATGTGTTTACGCGCAGTCATGGTCCGTCTTCACGGCTTTACGTGCCCTCCAGGGCTTGTTCGGCACAGTGCCCCAGGTGATTGGCCTGCCCATAATTCACGACATGTACCCTCCGCACGAATGGCCGCGATACATCAACATTTGGGGCACAACCTTTCTGGTCGGCCCGTTCCTCTTCCCCGCCATCGCGGGATATATTTTGGAGGGCACCGGGTCCTGGCGCGACTGCTTCAAAGTCCTGACGGGGTTCTACGGGTTCTCCACGCTGATGATCCTGGCATTCGGCTATGAGACGTACTACAACAAGTCATCGACGGGAGCGCGGCAGACCAGCCGGATCAAGTCGTTCTTTGGGATTGGGAACACCAACCTCCCCAAAGCACGCACGCTCTCCGAGTCGACGGTCAACATCATCAAGCTCACCTTCACCCTCCCTATCCTCCTGGTCGGTCTGTCCACCATGATCAACTTCACGTGGCCGATCGGAATCACCACGACGGTGGACGCCTTTGTCCGAGCACCGCCTTACCTCTTCGACAACGTCGCCGACGCCTCGATCCGTTTTGCCGGCGTCATCGGCGCCCTTTTGGGATTTTGCTTTGGATACTTCTTCAACGAATGGATCTACGAGGGCTCCGGCGGGAAGCGCAAGGCCCACTGGCGCAGCGAATACCGACTGCATGGCGTGTGGTTCCCCATCGGCAGCATGGTGTGTGGCCTGCTGACGTACGGCCTCACACTCAACTACGGCAAGAGCTGGGTCGGCCTCGCCTTCGGCTGGGTCATGGTCAACATCGGCCTGGTGGGCACCATGGTCGCCATCACCGCGTTCGCCCTCGAGAAATACCCCACCCACTCGGCCGTTGTGTCCGCCATCATCAACATGTGGCGTACGTGCGGTGGCTTCGCCGTCGGGTATTTCCAGCCCAGCTGGATCGCGAAAGACGGCGTCGCAGCCGTTTTTGCCACCCAGGCCGCCGTGGTGGCCGTCTGCGCCGTCATCCTCATCGGAGCGACCATTTGGCTGGGAAGGCGTGCTGCTGCTGCGAGTAACAAGTCTGCCGCGGATGTCGTTGCTGGTCAAGCGTGAGCGGCGAATATATGGTTTCGTTCTATACCCAGAGAATCGGGGAAAAGCAATGTCTAAGACTGTGTTTTGTTTTAATTTCTGAGCGCTAGGGTTGCGGGCGTCTAATAATAGGTGAGGATATTCGAAGGAAGAGGAACAAGTCCTTAAAAGTCGGTCGATGCGCGGGTAGATAGTGCTTGGCGAGTGCTTCGTACTCCAATGCTAGACAACATAGCGGTTGTCAGTCAAAATACATGCGCGTTTCCTTCTACACACTCAAGATGAACATGGAAGCAGTAATGGCGACTAGCCTTATAGAAGTCTTTGCGAGGTGTGTGTCTTCGACAACCCCTCTCCGGTCCCAACTTGAACAGCAGCATCATCGCTATGATATGTTGATTCTCCGAGAGGAGAGCTTGCCTCATTCTCTCCTCGGGCTTCATGTATCCGTCGACATTCGAGCAGTGGAAACGCAGACTCGAGTGGGCAAATGAGACCTTATGTGTCGGAGTCTCGCTGGGTAGAGATGGCGTCCGCCTTTCCTTCGCCGTGATAAGGGACTCTACTCAGCAGATCACAGGTATGTAGGTACTGGTACAAACCCCACCAGAAATCACTTAGTATATATGTTTTTTCTCTCGAAATTCTGTCACGCAAAGACCCCCTTCTCCACAACAAGGGCGAAACCGAAATTACCACGAGTTCGAGTCCCGATTACACCACATCTAGGTTCCTGTCAGGTCAAAACTAACTCCGGGTTAGTGGGCATCAGGACCTCGATTCCTTCCTCCGGTCCTCCCTCCCTCCCTCCGATGACCCACCTCGATCAGACGACATCGACAACATCAACCACTGTAGTATAAAATTCGTAGTAAAACCGGTCGAGAAAAACCAACCCTGTAAAGGGCGAGTTTTCCTTGTCACAGACCAGCAGGTTGAGCTGTTCTGTGATAAGTTTTTTGCCATTTTTGCGCGAGATCCATCCTAATAGAAGCTGCCTGTCTCGGAATGATGTTACGGTACTGTCGCCATGTCTCATCCAGTCATGCATACAAGTACTTGTACAAATATGTTCATGGCGAGATGGATCGTTCTAGGTGACTTTCGGGTAATGCCGAACGTGTTCTGCATTACCGAACTAAATAGGCATAGCGGCATCCACCCACCCAAGTAACTCGGCAAACTTACCTAGAAACACACCAGCTATCCCCCCAAACCTGCAACTCTGCAACTACAGGTGAAGTGTAATGGCTACGCTTCTGTTGTTGCGTTCTGCGGTCATTCTTCACGTCTATCTCACCATTGAGAACCACTCCAACACCCAAGAACCTACAAAGAATGAGTCCGGCGTCTCAACCACGACTCAAGCTGGTGCAGATGCCAGGCAGGCCTCGGCGATCCGTGGCGTGCAACCATTGCCGGGCAAAGAAGATTCGCTGTACGGTTGCAATCTGTAACAGCCGATGAGTCAGGTCGCTAATCGTATGATAGGTAACGGTAATACTCCATGTGACAATTGTCTGGACCGTGCCGGAGAATGTGTCATCACGCGCAGGCGACGTCCGCCTACCCAGAGTAGCCGAAGTGCCGGTGAATCTGTGGTCGTACAAGGGAACAGCAGTGTGTTAAGTCCCTACACATCTCAAGCCACATAAAGGAGTGACTGACACGCCGAATAGATCGGACAAATGTGAGTCTCACATTAGCGTGGACAGCAGGACTCGACAACGCTTCGTCGAGCGACCGGCGCAGCCACTCTAGCCAAAAGTCATGCTGCCGTTCGTTATATCAGCTGATATCCCTCAGCACCGTATGTTGGCATCTAAACAGAGCCAAGAAACCTCCAAGCAGCCACGCATGCAGACCCCTCTAGCACCCGGACTTCCAAGAACAACAGACGCGCATGAAGGACCCATCGATGCCTTCGACAATCAAGATCTTGGCCAAGAGGAGAACAGTCTCTATGCCACAGACACGGTCAGTTAGTCCCTGCATACTCACTAACAGTTCTGATGGTTCTCCCAGCTCAACTTTGAGTACTATGGTCTGTCGATTACTCCTTCCACCGCACAGTACTGATGGGCAACAGGCCCGCGCTGCATGATGTCCTTTTACTCCCAGCCTGCTGTGGACTGGATAGTTTTAAAAGTGGAATCACCCGAGTATAACAGCTCGGTCAAGCGCCTTGTTCAAGAATCGGCTCGGATGCTCAAAATGAACCACGGTGCCTTGTCATCATGTCGAGAGCCAGAGCCCGCTCCGCAAGTTGCATGGCAATACACCAATGGCGAGTAACTGAAACTCGTCAGTATCTAATTTAAGCTGATTTGTGGTCCAGCGTATTTTGAAGAAGGATCGGATCTTGCTTGGGGCTTGGTCGAACGCCCTGTATTTGAATCCCGACTCCGCGCGCACTTTAGCGGCGCCCACACCCCAGTTACAGACGACAAAGGTTGGTACGCACTACGCAACATCATCTGGGCGCATGGGTGCCAGATTGTTCTTTCCAAGACCAGGGCCTTCCACGACACCTTGCAGGCTTCGTGGGCTCTTTTCCAAAATGCACTTTCTGTGCATACCGAGATCATGTTCTTACACACTTCCTTGATGGGTGTCCAGGCCCTAATATCGATGGTAACCACCTTAGCTCTTCAAATCTCGAGCCAGGACTCTAATTCCCGATGGTAGGCATATTTCAGTGAGAGTATGGGTGAAGTGTCGCTACAATACACATTATGCACGGACGCTTTGCGACTCGCGTGCTCCAAAGGTCTACATAGACAGCCCTCACACTCGTGGAAAATCCCGCCGCATGAAGTCAGACATCGGAACTGGATATTCTGGTCCATTTATTGCCTGGAGAAGCAAATCTGCACCCGTTCAGGCCGCCCTTCAGTGTGTCATTCATTCCTCATTTGATGTGCTGACAGTGTCTCTAACCTTGGTAGATAATGGACGATGATGAAATCAGTTGTCAGGTTCCTCAAACCGTCCCAAGTGGACTACCGAGCGATACTCTGTACTGCCACACGTTGATCAAGATGATGCAATTAGCCTCCACGGCTAGGAAGCAGCTTTCCAGTGCGCGTGCTCTCAGGCAGACGACTGACCAGCTATTTCAAGCCGTGCATAATCTAAGGGAGGAACTCGCAGAATTCAAGAACTCGGTACAGCAGCATATCTGTCTTGACGATGCGATTGATGTTGCTCGATTACCAGCTGGTATGACCCTGCGCCAGGCTCAATCACTTCAATCACATTATTTCTGTCTGGTGTTGGACATCAATACCCCTTTGACCTACCCTTGGTTGGATGTCTCCACATATGTAGCGGGTAATATGATGGCTGCTTCCCAGGTGCATGCTTCATATAACGACGTGGTTCAGGTTTCGCGCGCTGCTATCCTTGCCGCCAGGCAGGTACATATCGACGGTGGCTGCGCTGCCTTGTAAGACACTCTTCACCGAGACCTTCTCAATGGATGTTTGTTGCCAGATGAAAGTTAACTGTCCAGCAGAATCGCTCGATACGCTCCGTTGTACAGTTTTTTCAACCTCTTCATCCACATCATTCGAGACACCACATTGTCCACTGTTCCATCAGACCTACTACTACTAGGTAAGTATCGGGGCCCTGTTCTGTACCGTACCGTACCGCATGTCACTCATGAAAAGGAGGTCGACGCATATGCTCGGCGGCAAGAGACAAGAAGTGACTCATGAACTTTACGTGCAGACCTTACATTGGGTTACTTTTCCAACCTCGAACTTACCACGGGTCTCCAGCTGCCGCGTCTTTTCGTGAGAGAGATGTGCCACTTTGCCCGTCTTGCTGTGAAGCATCAGGAGCGCTCGCAAAAGAGCACTACAGAGCCAGAAATCAGTAAGGAGATCGAGGCCAATGAAAGCTTCCAGCCTGCACCTTTGACGAATTCCACTTTGAGCATAGGCGACACCGATACTGTTCCATTACTTGTGAGTTATCTTCCAGATTGCCTACGACTAGGTTTGTTTTGATTACACGCAATACTAATTTGACACTCACAGGAGCAGGATTTCTTTGAATTATTCCCAGCAGAAGATTTCGAAACGTGGAGCACTCTGGTTCCTTTCGATGAGGCTACCGATTGGACGTTCTGAAATTGACCAAGATCTTTCCTTTAGATGTCTGCATGGATCAGCAGACGTCGATTGACTAGAGAATTGACGCTGTTTTTAAGTCTTTCATTGATAACGAAAATTGAGAGATTTATGGCAACGACTTGCTCTTCCGCATAGAAGCACCACTGACCAAGTTGCCGTTGCAGGAGCTCTGTACATCCAAAGTCTTCAGCTTAGCTCTTCGTCGAGCTGTTCACCTGCTTCAAATCTGGCACTTTGATCCTCAAGAGGTTCTCTGCGTTTTTATACGCAACGAGCTCGAGTTCCTCCTCAGTCAGCAGCCCGCTCTTGGTGAGGTCTTGGAAGAATTCGAGGCCGTGTTCATTGGTTGTGAAGGGGTAATCAACACTATACATGATCCGTTCGACTTTTGTGTTGGCAAGGATACAGCGCATCGGGTCGATGCTGAATGTGCCCGACATGGTGATCCAGATGTTCTCGTTCCACACCTCACTGAAAGGTCGATTCCGCTTGCCCATGACGGACTCTTGATCTATGATCCTCTGTAGCATAAAGGGTATCATCTCTCCAAAGTGGCCCAGGATGATCTTGAGCTTGGGGAACTTGTCAAACATCCCTGCGGCATGCAGCCGAAGCACATGGAGACCGACCTCGCTGTGCCATCCCCACATGGCACCTCCAACAACTGTCATTGCTCGAGGCGGGTAGTTTCCAGCGTAGGACCGCTGGAAGAAGTGTGGTGTGGGCCACGAAGGGTGGAGGTAGATCGGGACGTCCAGCTCCTGCAGCTTCTGCCAGAGGATGTCGTAATCGTTGCCGTCGCAGAACTTGTCGCCGGCCTTGTGGTCCACGAGTGCCCCGACGAAGCCGTGCTTCTTGACCGTCCTCTCCAGCTCAGCCGCCGCAGCTTCGGGGTGTGCCATTGGTAGGACTGCGAATCCGGCAAACCGCATTCTGGTCTCCTCCGACTTGCGGATCTCGTCTGCCAGCTTATCGTTGCCAGCTTGGCAGACCTCGACGGATGGGTTGTCGGCAGCGCAGTGCGAAATCACCTGGACCGTCACTTTGCCGTTGTCCATCTCTTTGAGCCGCAGCGCATCGGCGTCGAACAGTCTTTCGAGCGCTCCGGGCCATCGAGATATTGCTTCTTTCAGGGAGTTGTCGTATGAGTCAAACACGACGCGTGAGTATCAGTGTTCTTCGAGGGTGATGAGTGGCGGGGTCATCATGGAGAAGAATGACGGTGACAATGATTTACTAGGTAAGGGAGGTGAGGGACTTGGGTAATTGACCGAGACGGAGTGGGCAGTGCCGGTCTGATCTTTAAAACGAACAGGTCGAGAATTGAGCTTGGTGAGACCTTGATCCCTGAGGTCGTGGATGGCTCGGTCCCTGCTAGATGATGGACTTGTACTTGTGTTGCTCCGTCCCGAGACTTCACGCCTCCATTACTCGGTTCATTTTGATTCAACATCCCGAGTTCACGACACAATTAACAGTCGGTGTTGTCAGGACCCGAAGATGTTGCTTGTTCAGCAGTCGGCATTTCCTCATACGGTCGGCTCACCATTAGTTTGTCTGTCCTGAGGAGCGGCTCGATGGCCTTGCTCGGCTTTGACGGATGATAACGGCAGACTTTTTGAAATGAACAATATGTGCTGCAAGGGATTCAGATTTGTAAGTAGGCAGACGGTTCCGCGTTGCTGGCCATATGTGGTGGTGGCAGCTTATATTCCCTCCAGCCACCCAGATCACCCATCTTACCTTTGACCACCGAGTCACCTCCTACACAGTACATCCCATATCTTTCCAGGAAATACTTCGCTGTAAACATTCTCAGAAACCAAACGATGGGACCTCCCACCGCCATCGTCACCGGTGGCTCATCCGGCATAGGAGACGCCCTGGTCCGACACCTCGTCTCGCTGAACTGGCGCGTCGTCGTCGCCGACATCAACCCGCCCAAGGAGTCGCTGCCGGAGACGTTGTTCGTCAAGACAGACATTTCCTCCTGGCAGGACCAGGCCGACATGTTCAAGCAGGCGTATGCGTGGAGCGGGCGGCTGGACTTTGTGGCTCTCAACGCGGGTGTCGACCATGGAGACGACGTGTTTGGGAATCTCTCGGGCCATGTGGACCGGCCGCCGTCGAAGCCGGATACGCGGCCGTTTGAGGTGAATATTACTGGGACGTAAGTTTGTCCCCCTTCCTAATTTTTAAGGGAAAAAAAAAAAAAAAAAAAAAAAAAAAAAAAAAAAGAAAAAGTAACACAGCCTCTACCTCTCTTACCTCTCCTTCCTGGCTGCGCTGGGTTCTGACTCGAACCTCACTCTTCGTATGGGTGTGCAGATTCTACGGCATCAAACTCGCCGCGCACTACATGACGGTGCCGAGCACCCACTCCGACAAACCCAAGCCGGGCGGCAAAATCATCATCACCGCCTCCGGGGGCGGCATCTTCCCCATCCCCATCCTCCCGCAGTACACGGCCAGCAAGCACGCGCTGGTCGGGCTCGTGCGCGCGCTCGCCCGCAACGACGCCGCCACCACGGCCGACGTCCGCATCAACGCCGTGTGCCCCGCCATCGTCGACACCCCGGGCCTCCCGCCGGGACTGGCGAGTAAACTCGGCCCAGACCAGCTCACGCCCATGAGCACCGTCCTTCGGTGTTTCGACGCGCTGGCCGATTTCGCCGCTGTCAGGGATGACGACTGGGTAGCGCATGGCAAGACGGGGGAGACGGTCGAGGCGAACGGGGAGGAGTTCATCTGGCATCAACCACCGCAGCCACAAGGGGGGAAGTTTATGCGCGAGGCGGGTGTGTTGGCCGCGGCGCAGGCATATAAGCAGATGAGCGCCGAGGGGGCTGCGACAGCGACTTGAGAAGGGGGACGATGGATTGTTCCACAAATCGACGTGGACGCAGACGGGTCTGGGAAGAAGGACATGGTCCCCGTAGTAGTGATGACGTCGTCTTGTCAGGTCAGTATTTGGCCGCTTTTCCAGACTAGCAGCGCTTAGAACTACGAATTAGTTAGACGATCCTCACCAATAGCTTTGTTGAGTGAAGCGAAACGATGCCTCTTTACTCGTGTAAAAGAACGTGTAAAGAACTGGCTAGATCTATTGACTACTTGGTACCTAGGCCGTCGCTTTTATATTCACTATTACTGGCGTAGCGCCTTAGCTATGTTTTACAGAATGTCTACGGCCCAACGGCCCCCGCCCTGGACGATGCACAGCGAATCCCATCACCATCATGACGACAAACGCTGGAGCTACCTTGGTGTCTCTAGCTGTCTGGCTCGCTGGGCAGATTTCACGTGATCGGGAAACCATCTCATCCGTCTCTTCGGCGCACCTGCTCTGCGCAAGCGCTTGTGTGGTTCACTTTCATCGAAAGGACTTGCGTCATTACCTGGACTATGACCAGTATGTCCGCCTCGCCTTTCATGTGAAGTTCTCTGGATCGACCGCCTCCAGGAGCGCTGTCCTCTAGAACTCCTGCTCTCTCGAGTATTCGCCGGTGGGACTTGCGACCAAGGAACGTCACGGCTGGAGACTGCTCCAGACTGTACGCCACGTGGAGGCTCTGATAGAAACGATGGGCGAGCAACTTGCAAAAGGCGCAAGGGATGCTGAGTTGATGGGAGAAAGCATTATTGGCATTTACCTCACGACAGAGCCTCTGTGCGAGTCGAATCGGCCGGTGGAAGATGACGAGCCGAGACTACGGCGCTTTGTTGATGACCAAGAAAACATCCAACGGCCCCGCCTGATCGGGAGTGGGAAACACGGCGTCGTGATCCTGACAAACATCAAAGGAGCTGCATATGCCTTGAAAGTTGTAAGTACGATTGTGCGAATTACTTCCACTTGGCTAAACCTGGGGGTTCAGTTCAAGTGTTGGAAGCAACCCGGTCCTGTCTTTTATGCATATGATGGTGCTATCCACACCTCACCACTTGCCTGTGAAAGTAGAGCTTATGCTCGACTGGACTCACTCAATGAAAATGGAACATGGGCTGCCCGGTGTTACGGATGGATGAGATTGTCTGATACTCAATTCAAGGTACTCGGGAATGTTGTTAACACCCATGGCTTGAGCCGATGGGCTATTGTCAAAGAATACATACCATCCTCGACACTTCCGTGCGACATTCAGACGATCTTTACGAATTTCAATATCCCCGAAGCAAGCGCGAATACTCCCCCAGGACATTCGAGTCGAGAACTATAGAGGGTCAAAGATTGTCGACCCTTCGAGCACGTTGACGGCTCCGTGTCCGGAATGGTCGGGCTTCTTATTTGAATTCTTTTACAAAAAAACCATCTTTGGCGTCTTTGATTGGTTCAAAGTCTAGCATTACATCTCTCGGCATCACAATCACCTCCTCGCTGGGGCCTTTGCCTTTATGTTTCAAATCTTCGCTGTGCGAGGGAGAAAGGCAATGGCCATTGCGCAATTTGTGACCGCCTTACGATTCCCAATGTCCAATTTCTCAGCCATGTTTCTCGATCTCCTTGACAGTCCTGACATATTTTGCTGTTGTCGACATTCTGCCTCCTGATGCACGATCAACTGCCGACTTTACCCTAACGAGATGTTGCTAGATGGCTGACATTGAAGAGGGAAGCCTTTGTTGGGCCAGGGTTGCTGGGCTCAGGATTTGATCAGGTTATATCATCAAACCTTCTCGCAATGCTTCTTCCGCGCATCTGAAATCTCATCACGTCCGATTTTAGACAAGCGAATTCACATTTTCGCCAACGAAACGAAAACGGACAGTTAAAGTCGCAAAGATGCGCCTGAAAGCGGCATAGAATGTCTGACATGATGCGCACAAGTATTCCTTGCTGACAGTGATGACCGGGGCCTGGGCTAGCGGCAGCAAGTCGTCGAAGAAGCTCTGCAGGCCTCCTGGTACAAAGTATTCGTCCTCAGAGTATTGAACGAGGGTATGATGGTGGACAAGGTAAGTCAGCAACTGAGGCTCAACGTGTGAAGCGGCGCGAATATCAGATAGAAGGCCGAGATGTTTGCGCAGCTCATCCGCTCTATTAGCCCACAGATTGTTGTCGAGAACATTCCGCCAGCCCGGGAAGGTGTAGCCGCTCATTGCGGTTACTAATGGGTAATTTGAGCCCCGATCAAGTTCCGCAAAGGCCTTGTAGGGTTGTCCATCCGGGACCAGAAGAATAGTTTTAGGTCTGTACAGAGCAAGATTTCCGTCTGCCATCCTCTGGAAGAATGACAAACCACGACGAGAATGGTCTTCAGCTCCTGGCGAATGGACGGGGTGATGAGACAATCGCTTCAAGTGGCTCTCAACCCTGGCGCGTTGATCATCCGCATCGTTGCCTTCTCTGTATACACGGCCTGCTCGCGAACGTCGCTCGCCTTTATTGCGGAGTGTAGCTAGAGCCAGATCCAGAGCATTCATCCCGTTCGCATCGTGTTTTTGAATATGTACTCCTTGGGCTGTAAGATGTTGCACAGTCTCAAGACGACCCCAGAGAGAAGCTTCCATAAGAGGTGTTCTGCCAAAATGATTGCTTTGGTCAATGGCCGCGCCTCGATCCTGGAGCCATTTTACCGTCAATATTCCGTTCTCTTCCGTAGCGGCCAACAGAACGCCATTATCACCATCCTCATCAACTTGTGAAACGAAATCATCGTCCGGATAATCTTCAAAAAGGCGATGCAATTCCCCGATGTCTCTTCGCACACATGCGGATATGTAGGCAATGTGGCGAAATTCGGGAGATTCATAGGGGTCTTCAGGTAGGGCTTCGGGGCGTCGTCGAGGAGGTTGGGCATTCGAGCTTTCTTCATTAATGTGCAACCGCTCAGCCGCATCTGTAATACTTTCGTCATCGCTTTCTAGCTCAGATCGTTCATGAAGATGAGCAAATGACGGAAGTATAGAACGATACGGCGGGCTTTCGTTCAGCTCCATCAGCCTTCCTCCCAAATTCACTGTCGCAGAGACGGAATGGGTCCGATAAACTCCCATCCATAATCAGTTGCCGTAGGATCTTCATCTTGTGGGAAAACGAGCCGATACACACCTCCGTTCATGTCGTGGCAGTCGCTTTGCCTCTGTTTGTAGGGTCCCAGAGGAAAGCTGTGACCATGTGTGCCCAGACAAAACGGACATCTTACTCGAATTCTTGAGCTGTTCCACGAGAGAACGAGGGCGACGGGTAGAGCAGCCATGGAGTATGAGTTGAATCAACTTCTCCTGCGAGGTAAGAAGAGCGGTGCCACAGGGCAAGCTGAGATGAAGACAAAAGGATCATGCGTAGACTGCATTGAGATCTACGAACACCTTCATTTTGCCAGGTTACACCGAGGCAGGAGCGGTACAGCACTTTCGACAAGAGGTGTGTTACTATGCAATGTAAAATCATCCACCAAAACGCCAGGCAAATACTGTAGTGCAGGTATGGTTGTCAAACCAATCACAATGAGACAAGTGGTTCTGAATCGCAGGACGAATCTACTCCAACTTCAAGTCTCTCTAAAACTGATACAACATCATCTTGGACCGACCAGCCGGCCAACCGGCCATGAATTTTTTCATTCAACTTTTGCTTTTGCTACACAGTGTATGTTTGCCGTGTGTAGATATATAAGTACATGTCTTTTACACTCGCAATCGACCGACCGACCAACGGGTCGGCTGATTCGACCTTGGGTGTTTTGCTTTTCCTTTTCCTTTTGCTTTTGTGTCCCGGCTGGTTTCGTCCGGACAGTTTCCTTGAATACAAGTGGCGGACCCAATCTGAGGTAGGCGAGACAGGCGGGATGGGTGAATGGCGTCATCGAGGGCGTGAAAAGACAGACTTGGGGATCCCATGATGGATGCATGGAACCGTTCAGGTCTACACCTGCTTGTCTGTTCCATTGCCCCCGACTTCCTGACTCCAAACTGCGTTGAGATGTCGTTGTCGTTTTATCAACCACCCCCCGCCCCCTTCTCTTCCTTTTTCACGACCGGGCTCGTTCCACAACCGAGTGTATGTGTGTAGTGTAGGCTTTTTCCATCGCAGTGCCATCGCAGGTAATACTCCTCCCCCTATATGCGTGCGTCGCGGGGGGACGAGGGGCGTGTTTATTAAACGGCGTGAGATTCCCAGTGGATGTCCGTCTTGACGGTGATGCCCTTTGACTCATCACTGCCCTTGGTGCGGGTACTTCCGGGCCCCGTCGTGTAGGTGGTCAGCTGGACCTCGTCGTCGCCAAAGGTTGGGTTGACGATGCGGTCCCAGTCCCGCTTGACTTTGATCGGGATGCTCGCGCCGGACTTCGCCATGGCGGAGGACCCCATGTTGCCGCTGGAAAAGCCGCTCGTGGGCGCTGATCGGGACTGCGAGCCGGCGGATTTCCAGAAGCGCCGGAGAAGCGGCGCGTAGCACGGCATGCAGGCGCAGAGGATGCCGATGAAGGGCTCGCAGCACGACCAGATGAAGACGCTCGCCATGGACCAGGTCAGGTCGTCGTTGTTGATGAGGTGGTGGATCGAGATGATGCGCACGATCGAGGCGATACAGACACTGTAGTTTTGTCGTTAGATATTACTGTAGCGAGAGGAAAAGGGCAAACTGGGGACCGTCTTACAATCCTCCCAGTCCAAGGACACCGCCAACCATGACCTTCTTCCTTGTGGACATGCGCAACCCCAGAACTGTAGCAAGAAGAACTTTTAGCATGTGAAACATCACCAATAAGCAGCGAGAATGGGAGGGATACTGACGTGGTCGGATCGGAATGATCAAAATACAAACATCGACAAGCATGGCCCAGATGCCGTTGGCGAAGAAGAACAACGGCACGTCAATACAGTGACCCTTGGCCCCGGGGGTGGTATACTGAGTCTAATGGTTTTGTTTGAACGCGGGTCAGTCTCTGTTTAATTCTCACTCGTTGTCCGTTTTTTTTTCTCTCTTTGTTGTCACTCTGTGTAAAGTGTAATAGAAAAGGGGGCAAACTCACCCAGAAATACTCCAATGGTTGACAACCGGTGTTGATGGTGACGACAATGACGACAAAGTAGCTCCAGACCAAGAACAGACCGAGATAGGTCGACCACTTCTGGCGAAAGAGGCGCCAGTAGTACATGACGATGGATGCCTTGGTGAAGCTGACGGCGCCTGCGTAGATCATCACGTAGGAGAAAAGAATCTGTTCAGCAGAATTAAAAGACTGGTTCAACACGGGGAGAGTTCGAGTTCGCTCAAAGGGTCGGGGAGATGTCAGGAGCAAGAAATATAGATCGGTGGAAATAAACATGAATGCATACCTGCCAAATGGTCGTAAAGTCCTGTCCCGTCACGGCCCAAAGATGCTTGCCACCACCATATGGAAGACCTGGTCATTCTTTGTCAATTTCTCGAAGGCCTCGCGTGCAGGGGTACAAGATTCAAAACTCACTGACGAGCGAGCAGACTGCTGTGCCATGTGCCAGAAGCTGTTTTTGGGTCGCGAATTAGTCCATTTATTCAAACTTTGGTCCTCAATATCAATATCGGGGAAACTCACCAATGCTGGGATGATCAAGTAGTCGTCCCAGGAGAATTTTCCCTTCTCCCGCATCAACTGCGACACGAAACGCAGCATGACGGCGAGGGTCCCGATGACCATCAGACTGACGACCGCTCTGATGACGGCGCCATTCTTGGTCTCGGACAGGTCAATGCCCGGGGGCGCAGGTCCAAATGCTCCGCTTGCAGACATTGGAAGGGTTTGTCGTGCTTGAAAACAACCGGAGGGAGGGAGAAAAGAGAAGGGTAGTGGACCTAAAAAACAGAAGAAAGCCGCTCGAGCTTGCGAGTCGACGATATAAGAAGTGTAACGATGAAGGAAAAAGAATCACTCAAAGGAGTCACGCAAGGCGGAGGCGTTATAAAGAAAAAAAAGGGTCTTTACTGAAGCTGCATCTCCTTGGGATATGTCCCCCCGGATCCCAGATCCCAGACCGTTTGGGTCTCATATCACTTCAGGCTAGCCATGTACCGAGTTCATAGTACACATTGAGGAGTACAGTGACCCAAATGGGAACCCACAAAGGCCATACTCTGTACAAAGAGGGAACTGGAGCTAAGACCTTGCGCAATCCCGGTTCCTGGTTCCTGGTTCCTGGTCCCCCGGTCCCTGGCAGGACCAAGTCACTGTATCAAAGACGACCATGGGCATTTCATCACTGCAAAGGGGCTTTTAGCCAACTCGGCTGTTCAAGGCGTACCAGATGATCTGCATAACCAAAACAACAGCACGAATCAAACTGGGTCATTCCGGGCATAGATCGTTCCCCGCTTCTTTAACTGAGAGTGAGCTGGTGACAAGACACAAGGCGACGGGGCCGAATACGAAGTGGGTAGGAAGTAGGAGGACTATAATTTTGATCAGGAAAGCCTTGGGCTCGAAAGAGTGGCCAAAGTCCTCGGTACTACCGCAATCTCGGTTTTTTCCCAAATGCCCAGTCTGTACGAGTACTCGGTACCAAGTAGCACTCAGGGTGTCGCCGATGGAAAATTTCACTTGCCTTTTGGGAGTTCGTCGTACGAGATAATATGCCCCCGGGGATCCATATCCGTTCCAGCCGTTGAGCTAGTTGTGCCGATCAGCCAAGATGCGTTTTCGACCTGCCTCGCACCTAGCATGCAATCTGCAGTGGTTCTCGAACGAGATTTTCCGACCTAGACTTTTTCGACATTCCTACTCGTACGGAGTAGCGGTTGACCACTTGGTGGAGAAGCTTCCATGCAGGTCGGGACCGTTGACCGTTGACAGTTGGCAGTTGGAAAGGTTGGGCAAAGCTCGGGATCCACACAACGGTCGACTCAGTGCGAACGCAAGGCTGCCTAAGCGTTGTGCAGATCCAGAACTGTCAGGGTCAGCTTGAAGGACAGACACAGACAGGACGGCCCTCGGTCCTCGGATCCGTGTCCCTGGACACAAGTTGGCAGGAGCAAAATTATGCAAGGGCCAAGAAGGGGAGCACGTCTCCAGCAGGGCATTCCCAATATGGATGCAGCATCGCCGATCTTGGACGAGCTCCGATTTTCAGGTGTTTCAGGGCTGCAGCCGAGCCATGGCCGAGCCAACGCTACGAGTGATTTGGTGCCTCATGAGGAGATGTCCAAGTCCCTTGTACCTTGGAACTTGGAATCCTCGTTTTTTTTTTCTAACGGCTTTTCTGGAGCCCTTTTTTGCGGAGTTACTTTAGGGAGGAGCAGCTACGGAGGATTGTGTTCGACGGGCCGGTCCAGATCGCCGAGTATGGGTAAGTGCGGCCCCGGACGCCTCCAGGCTACTCTAACTTTGTTCATGATCGTCGGTAGCTGGAGACAATCGAGACACGAGTCAGTCAGTCTTTATGTTTCGTGGCCCCGACGTCTTGATGGTGGCCCGCTAGTCCGAGGCGATTCGGATGCAGCGAATGAAAAGGGTGATGAGTGTGAGGGACAAAGTGGGGGTAGAAAGCTGTCACTGGGAAGAGGAGGTGTACTGAGCAGGGAGTAGGTGTGACCATATGGTTGGTGTGACCATATGGTTGGAAGCTCAGCGGCAGGACTCGTGGGCAGGATAGAGAACTTGGGATCACGACACGACACGACACGACACTATAAGACTAGATAGTGTACATGTACATGTAAGCACCTGATAGTACAGTATCGACGACAGCACAGCAAAAAGTCACAGTGGAGTGAGTTGCTACGATGATATTCCGTACAACTGATCTGGCCCGAGGTCTGTGGGAAAAGACGTTTCCCTCTATCATCCTAACATGGTGGTGTGCTGTCGATCTGCATCTTATACGACGAATACCGTGACAACCTAATAGCTAGCTCCCCTTTGGGCCTGAGCTTTACCCAGCATGCGGATCGGGACCTGGCTCGCCTGAGACCTGGGAAACTGGGAATATCCTTCCTCGATACTCGACTCGTACATATCTACTCGTCAAGCAGCGAATGATACTGTCTTGCTGGAACCACAAATGGCCATTTTACCTTTGGGACCAGGCTGCCAGTTTCGTTTCACCCATGGTACTATTGTCTACCGAATGCATAGAACTGCTTTGGGACCCTTGGTGCCCCGACCAAGTGTGCTCCACCATCACCCGTTAATATGAAACTGGTCCAAGAGCAGGTCTCCACAGGACAGAGAGAGTCGATGGGAGACTACTTCACACCGCTCTCGTGGCGCCCAGTTCCTTTTATTATTTATCAAGGGACGAAGGGCCCCGGATGCCTCCCCGTCAAAGAAATTCCCTGTCGACACACACACAAGCGACACAGGGCATCATCTTACCAACCAAGAAAAATGGGGTCCATCCAGGAGAAAACACCCAACGATGTCAGCCAACGGCCAAACTGGGTTCCTTTGTTGGACACGCCAGTCCTGACCAGAAGAAAGCTGAGGATCGTCTGTATCGGTGCTGGGTTCTCGGGCCTCACGCTGGCACACAAGATCCAGCATGAGTTGAAGCTCGAGGATGTCATCGACCTTCAGATTTATGAGAAGAACGCCGACGTCGGAGGGACCTGGTACGAGAACACGTATCCCGGTGCCGCGTGGTAAGAGTGTCTCTCCATTGGATCTTGTTAGCCAGAACACAATCAGAACCTGACCACAGAGAACTACTAGTGATATCCCAGCTCGTGAGGCTCCCAGCTCGTGAAGACGGCACTAGCCCGACTTTGCAATCGAAAACAAGGCATACACGCATACTAACCTTTGGGGATTCGTTTGCTTTTAGATGCCTACACCTTCTTGTTTGAGCCGAACCCGGACTGGACGCAGTTCTACCCTGCCCAACCCGAGATTCATGCCTACATCAAGGCAACCGTTGCCAAGTACAACCTGGACAAACACGTCACGCTCAAGTCCAGAATCTTGGAGACGATTTGGGATGATGAAGTGGGACAGTGGAAGATCAAGGTCGACACGAATGGAGCCATCCAGGAGGACAACGCTGATATCCTCATCAACGGCACCGGGTTTCTGAAGTGAGTTACAAGGACCTCTGTATAGTAGTGGGCGATGTCTAACCAAAACTCTCAAGCAAATGGAAATGGCCTGCGATTCCTGGCCTTCATGACTTTAAAGGCAAACTCGTCCACAGCGCCAATTGGTACGTTTTGACAGAGTCTAACTAGAAAGGGGTTCAACGCTGAGAAGTCTTTCCTTGCAGGGACAAGGACTACTCATGGGAGGGCAAGAAAGTGGCCGTGATTGGCAACGGGTCCTCGGGGATCCAGATCGTGCCGGCCATGCAGCCAAAAGTGTCGAAACTCGTCACCTACATCCGGAACCCCAGCTGGATCTCGATCAATTTCTGCGCCGACAAGACCATCGACGGCAAGAACTTTACGTATACAGAGGAGCAACGAAAGGCGTTTAGAGAGAACCCCGAATCTCACTTTACGCTGCGGAAGGAGTTGGAAGCGTCGTAAGCCTTTCTCCCTTGGATATTACTTTGGGGGGGTCAGCAGAACTGCAATGGCTAATCTCTCAAAATCTTCGAATCAGGGTCAACGGGTTCTTCTTTGGAATGAAGACGGGACATCCATTCCAGCAAGGTCTCGAGGCTGCGTGTAAAGCTCAGATGAGCGCCATCCTCAAGGACCACCCTGAGATGGCGGACAAGTTGATCCCCAGCTTCCACCCTGGCTGCCGTCGTCTGACAGTATGTTCCGCCAGTATGCCCCACTGAAAAGATGTCAAGTCCACTAACGAACTGGAAATCTCGATTAGCCTGGTGATGGATACCTGGAAGCTCTTCAACAACCAAACGCGAGCATCAACTGGGGTCCCATCACTCGAATCACCGCCAAGGGAATCGAGACGGCAGAAGGCGAAGAAGAGTTCGACATGATAGTTTGCGCCACGGGCTTTGATACCAGTTTCATCCCGTCGTGGAAACTCGTCGGGCTCAACGGGGCGACGCTAGACGAGAGATGGAAGACCGACCCCGAGGCCTTTTTCGCCGTCCAGGTCGACACCATGCCCAACTACTACATGTTCAACGGACCCAACTGTCCCATCTCACATGGCTCGGTCCTGACCGAGATTTCTTGGACCTGCGACTATATCCTCCGCTGGGCGGAGAAGATTGCCACCCAAGATATCAAGTAAGTTATCAGCACTTCTCTTATCGATACGGGACCGCACTCTCTTGTTTTAATGCTGTCCCCTTATTGGCCATGTGGGCGGTGATATCTGTGATCAGCATCTGCAGGTGCTGGTGATTTTCCTGGCGAGGGTAAAAAGAACGGATGGGGACAACTAGCTAATCTCGAGGACTTATCATCTAGATCCATCACGCCAAAGGCTGAAGCGGTCGCCGACTTCAACACCTACTCCCAAGAGTTTCTCAAGTCCATGGTGTGGGCAGACAACTGCCGTTCCTGGTACAAGAACGGGAAGGAGAGTGGCACCGTCACCGGCACGTACGCTGGGACTATTTTGCACTTTAAGGACTGTCTGGAGAACCTGGGCGGCGAGCATTTCGACGTTGTGTGGCGGAGCAAGAACCGGTTCCGGTGGCTGGGCAACGGGCAGAGCAAGTGGGATAAAGACGGCATGGGCGATTTGGCGTATTACATGAAGAGACTCTGATTGAGTCGAGGTTGTTGGCGCCCGTGCCTGATAGAATACAGAAGATGACGATGAAGAGAAGAGAGTAACAAACCGCACTCGAAATCGGAAACCACTGATTGGTCCCTCGTACACAGAGTCCTATCCCATGCCCAGTGCTGTATCCCCACATATCTCTTGTCAGACTAAAATCACCGTCGGTGACTGAAGAAACGCGTGCATTAGGGATCTCTCCGTGCTATCCGGACTCGGCGTGGTTGCTTCTTCATCGGTGATCCGAGATGGATGGTGGATTGAGGCAATTGACCACCCTACTCTGCAGGGCGAGGGTAGATAACACAGGTTACCCACTCAAATATCTCACGCCGGCGCTGTAAGTGAGATGAGATGGTAAGACAAGAGATGAGAGACGAGAGAACGCAATGAGAGGAGGCCGAGGATGTGCTGACGGCTTTCCGCAGGCAATTTTCAAAATAGGCTTAGCGCCGCTTGCACGTGAATGAGCTTGCACGTGACTGAACGCAGGGGCAAGCGCCACCAAAGATAACTACTTGGTACAAGTACCAGTTCAGCCTCATCGAGACAAGGCTGGGTGTGGGGAAATATGTACAAAGGTGGTGATATAGTCCAATATCCTCGACTTGGTTAATAAACGCGTTATCAGTGTACGATAGATAATCCCGTTTAGACCAAATAACCCGTCTAGGAGGTAGGTACAGCCGATGGGCCATCCGTACCTCGTTTTACTCTAGGAGCCCTTCAGGATCGGAGGAGGCAACAACTAGATAACTAGGCTGGAGTGGCTGATAGGTCTGAGCGGCAGATCATGGCTGATAAGGGCATCGCCGCTCCTCATAGTGGCTCCATCCTCTACGTCATGTCAGCGGTAACCCACAGACCATTGGAAGCCGCCCGTGGGGAAGCTCCGCCCGAGCGTGGCCAAAGTGGAGACCAAGAAATCCAACTCGTCTGGGCGTGAGGCGAGGGGAAGGGCCCTTCTTGCCGACTGCGCCACTCCTAGAGCAGCAAATTCAAACAAGGTTCCGCTAAGAACCACCACGCCCAGATCGTGTGTACTTTCAAACATTGGCAACGCGGGAAGTAGCTGAGGCTGTAACATAACAAGATCATCCTTGCCCAATAATTCTTGCCACAAAATCTTTTGACATCCCCGCTCTTCAAGCTCTTCAAGACGCCGTTGGCCCTTTTTCACCTGACCTCTTTCCTCTTTTTCTTACAGGTGAAAAAAAAAGGAAGAATAATGCTCTCTCTGGTCTAGATACTCTGCCTCTCACCAGAAACGATTTTGTGCGCCCCAACGACAACCACATCGCCAGCATGGACGATTACCACAATGGCAAGGAGAAGCACACGAGCGACGTCCAGGCGCCGGATATCCAAGAGGCCTTCATCGCCGAAAATGCCGACCAGCTTCAACGTCACCTCAACAATCGCCAGATCCAACTGATTGCCATCGGAGGTTCCATTGGGACAGCGTTGTTTGTGAGCATTGGAGGCGGTCTCTATCGTGGCGGCGCTGCGAACCTGTTCTTGGCCTATACAATCCACAGCTTTGTGCTCGCCATGGTCAACAACTGCATCGCAGAGATGAGCACGGCATAGTCAGTACCATGCACTTTCCAGCTGCTCAACGGTTGTGTTGCTGGTCGCTATTATGGTCGGAAATGCTAACGAGTTGGATTATAGCCCGGTCAGTGGTGGCTTCATCCGTCTAGCTGGCAAATGGGTGGACGATGCCCTCGGTTTCATGTGCGGCTGGAACTTCTTGTCAGTCCTCGTGTCATTTGAGCGTTTGCACACTACTGACGTGGTATCTAGCTTTTACGAAGCTCTCCTGATCCCGTTCGAGATTTCGGCCTTTACCCTCGTGGCGTCTTATTGGAGTGACAAGCTCACCGAGCCTGGCCCGATTGCTGGGGTCGTGGCCGGATGTGTTATTGCCTATGCGTAAGCTGGACAAACATCGCCATATCTTGGACATGCGAACTAATGGTCGTTGCTTTTGAAGTTGCATCAATGTTCTCGCCGTCAGAGCATACGGAGAAGCCGAGTTCTGGCTCTCTGGTGGAAAGGTCATTTTGATCTTTTCCCTCTTCTTCTTCACCTTTGTCACCGTAAGTTCGTCTGTCGCGTTTTATAGAACTATGCTGAACCGCCCGGGCAACAGATGGTTGGTGGCAACCCACAAAACGATGCCTATGGCTTCAGAAACTGGAAGCACGGCGGGGCGTTCCGAGAATACATTCATACGGGCGATCTGGGTCGATTCCAAGGGTTCCTCGGTGCCCTCACGTCTGCAGTCTTCACGATCGTCGGTCCCGAGTACATCTCCATCGTCGCCGCCGAAGCAATTCGCCCGCGCGTTTACATCAAGGCCGCGTTCAAGATGGTATACATCCGATTCGGCATCTTTTTCATCGGCGGCGCTTTCTTTGTGGGCATTGTTTGCGGCTCCCGAGACCCAGGTTTGGTGAATGTCGTCGAAGGTGGAAGCGGCGTTGGCGCTGGAGCATCGCCCTATGTGATTGCCATGAATAATATGGGAGTGCACATTTTTCCACATATCGTCAACGCGTAAGTACCGCCCATGTCGCCATGTCGTCATATCGCCAAGAAGACTGACGAATTGTCTAGGTTGCTGTTGACTTCGATATTCTCGGCGGGTAACACGTACACGTACGCCGCCACGCGCACGCTCTACGGCCTGGCGCTCGAAGGACGAGCACCACGCATCTTCTCGCGCTGCACGAAGAAGGGAGTACCGATTTACAGCTTCTTCGTCGTCATGATTTTCCCCATGCTCTCGTTCCTGCAGTGCTCGAGCAGTTCGTCTATTGTGGTCACATGGTTCGCCAACATTGTGACTGGGGGAGGTATGATGATCTACGCACCCGATAGTCTCTACTCAGCTAACGCTAATCACCAGGCCTCATCGACTTCATCATCATGACCATCACCTACATCCAGTTCTACCGCGCCTGCAAAGCCCAGGGCTTCGACCGTAAACGCCTCCCCTACACCGGCTACCTTCAGCCATTCTGCGCCTACTTTGCCCTCGTTTGGCTGATCCTCGTCACGGCGATTTACGGCTACACGAGCTACACGCCGTGGGACACGTCCAACTTCTTCTCCAACTACAGCATGCAACTCTTTATCCCCTGGTTGTTTTTGATCTGGAAGATCATCAAGAAGACCAGGTGGCTGCGACCCCACGAAGTCGACCTCGTGTGGGAGAGGCCTATCATCGACGCGTACGAGGAGACCTTTTTGGATCCTCCCGTCGGTTTCTGGCGGGAGCTGGGACAGATGGTCGGTCTGGGGAGGATCAAGGGCGGAAACGACAAGCGGCGGCCGAGTGTGGTTCAGCCGACCGAGCCTACTGACAACGGGTTCAAGCACGCGTAGAGATGACGCCGTGTCTCTGTGTCTGTCTCGGTGTTGAGCCGGCAGGGTAAGAAAGACCGTCTTCTAAGGGTGATATTCTGTCTCTATAGACGTCCCTAGTGGCTGGCTGGCATTTTCTCGACATGACTTGACTTGGACAACCGGCAGATGCAGATATTGGATATCGGATCCTGCACGCTACGCCTTGATATATCTATGGGGCAGATAGATGATTGCTAGTCTGTCCAGGTTTGAGGTGCTACAGATCTGAGATATTTACGGGTATCCATCCGCTATCTACCATCTGCTGTCTACCGTCTACTGTCTGTTTGTACGTTTTTAAGTAGCAGAGGTGGCAAGTGATTCTATTCCCTTCTCTCGAGAGGACGAGATATGGGATTTGAACACATACTATTTTACGACATGAACTGCTTTGACAACGTTATTCTGACGTTCCCGTTCTGTTCCATGAGTTTTGCCATTCGTTGGATATACGGAGAATATGAGTGGTAGGTTGGTGGGTGATAGATGATGGGATGATGGATTCAATACATTTAGGGCGGCAGCGGAGCAAGCTCGGCTATATGCCATGTTACACCCAAGTACCTCCGTACTCGGCACCTCGTACTCGGTACGAGGCACCGTTTCAGGGTTGATTGAGCGAGCGAGCGAGCAAGGCGCAAGGGCGGCAGGCAAATCGAGACTCCCGAGAAATCTGGGGGGGGGGGGGGGGTTTGAAAGAGGCCACGCGAAACAGGCGCTTATGTACAGGCGCGTGCCGGCAGAGGGAGGGGGGTTTTTTTACTCGAATCTTCATCTTTTGGCTATTATCACGTTGTTGAGTTTTCGAGTTCTACATAGGGTCCTTTGTCCCTGGGCCTAGTTTGCCTTTTTACTTGACGCATGTCCCTAGGTGGGCGGCCTTTTTTTTTTTTTTTTTTTCCCCACGCGGCACCGTTTTCACTAGCCTCGTCGTGAGCCCCCAGTCACGCCCCCAATTGACTGGCAATGCCCTTTGTGAGGACTACCTGTGATGAACGGCGGTAATGGTTCGTGAAATATGGCGACGGATCCAGCAGCACGAGGAGCGACATGACGCACGCGAAGAAGAAGAAGAAGAAGAAGAAGAAGAAGAAGAAGAAGAAGAAGAAGAAGAAGAAGGAGAAGGGGATCGAGGCATACCACACACACGTAGCTGGACGCGTCGCTTGTATCCCCAGCGCATGGCCTCGCGGGCCGCTGCGACCACCTCGGTAGGGATGCCCTGTCAAGGCTAAAAGAGTTGTCCCGAGTCGATGGCACCTGATCAGCTTGGCCACGTCTTTCTGCGGGGTAAATTTAGTTTTCGCGACACGAGGGGCCCGGCCAACGCTCCCCCGGAATTCTGGCCGTGGGTATCGTGTTGGAATTGGTGCAGCCCGACTGCGCACCGCACCTCTTAACAAGCTTGTACGCAGAGGCCGATGTCACGCTGCTGCGGCACGTGCAGGCCCCACGGTCGTGTGCCCGATGACCACAACCCACAGCCCTGTCGCAACGGGGTGCGGGGTCACAAGCACGAGCCAGACCGTACGCGAGAGGCCTTGTACGGCGTTGGAGACCACGAGCTACACTGGACGAGCGCGCGCCCAGCACACACCCACCGATCCCCGTGGGGAACATTGTACCACCCGGCGGAGATGGGGGTCGGACGTCAACATGTAGGTGATCTGCTGGGGCACGGTAACGCCGTCAGGGCGATTTGCGCCAGCCCCGAGGAGAACACGATGCGGACGGAATAGGCGGTACGGAAACAGCGGTATCGGGCGGCGCGACCCGAGAAGTACGAGAAACCCGCGGCCCAGTTCAGGTCGTCCAAGTTGCTTTGCACCCTAGGGCGACGAGCGGCGCGATGGACGCGAACGAGTTGCGGGTGAAGCTGAGGGAGGAGATGCACACGAGGCCGAGGAAGAAGACGGCCCACTCAGGTCGCGTTCGCATCGGTGTCGTCGTGCAGTGCCGCACCGTGCGAAGTCGCCGTGGTCGTCGTAGTTGCGGGAGTCGAGAACTTCTTTGGCCAATCTTGTGTTTGGACGGTATGTCATTTCCTGCTGTGAGGTGAGTTCCGTCCCTGCGACCGTGTTCGGCTGACCTGGGCTGGGTGTGGAGCATTATATGATATGCATATCAGTCGGGTGAGGGCAGTTGTTGGTTGAAACGAGCAGATCAAGGCAGTGTCCTCTATGCCGTTCACATCCAACATGGCCTTGGGGACCGAAGTCGAGGAGCACAAGGGTTATGGGACCGCGTACACTGGTATCACGTCTTGCCCGACTCGTAGAATCTACAACTTTCTACCAAGGCCACTTTCTCTCCTTGGGTAGCACAGACTCCTGATACCACGCAATCAATTAACTCATATTCATCCGTCCATCTATCCGTCCCCAAAAACAATACCTGGTCTAAGAAACAGTGTCCGCTCCTGACGGACCGAAGTAACATGGGTATCTATTTAGCCCAACGTCAGCGAGAGTGAACCATTGCGTGGCGACACATTAGGGAGCGGGGTCTCTCTTCCATTCGGAATTACCATTCTCGGTCGGTATCTCGCTAGCGTTGTACGTCTATCTACCATATCTTTGTGAGGATGTGGGGGGTTGAACCAATGATAGTGACAATGGCAATGTCAGGGACTAGCAAGGCCAGCTAGCTGGTGGCGGGAAACGGAAAGAATGAGGATTCTGTCTAGTTAGTTGGCATGATGGATGGACTGGTTGATAGAGTCGGTGGACTTGTTGCAACGACACATCCGGGATCTGTCTACAAGGTTTTGTGGAGGGCAATATCTCACTGGTGGCCAAGATTCATATATTTAGATGCCACCTTGAGGTGCGCTGCTCTAGCTACCCAGATGCACAACGCCATCTCCGGAAACTATGATGCGTTCAAAACACGAGGTGCTCATTTGTTGTTATTGCATCAACACCCATTCCCTCGCCCACTCAGAACCATCTCCCAGGCTAGACCAAGAACCACCACCACCGCCAAATCTGGAGATATCTCAAGCGAACCCGTCTTCTTCTTCCTCCCCTCCTTCTTCATCTTCGGCTTTAATGTCCTCCCCCTCCTCCACCACCTCACATGCTGCCTCCCAGAACTTCCGCCCTGGCTCCTCACAATACGTGTCAAACCACAAGAACGACCTCATCACCTCCTCGACGACGGGCCACGACTCCGGTCTGCGCGGGACGACGGCGAACTCGAGCAGCGTGGCGAAACTGCCCAGGAGCTTGTCGCGCTTGCGGTACCCGACAGCCTGGTCCGTGCACATCCAGCCCCACGCGACCGCGCAGAGGAAGAGGTCGGCATGGCGGCTGGGAATGCCCACTTTCACCGCACTGATCAGGAGGCGTCCGAGGCGTTCGGCGATCTTGGCCTGCAGCATTGTCCGCGGGGGCATGGGCACGATGACGAACACGGCGTACGCGAACAAGATATGTCGGCAGAGCTCGTAGACGACATGCTCGGCCACGACTTTCTCCCCAGTGGTGACGTGCTCAGGCAGCGAGAGCATGTCGTGGAGCACGCACCACCGCATATACCTGACGAGGGCCATGTTCGGGGTGTGCAAATGCTGTTGCTCTTCCGGGAGACCGTAGGACCTCAGCAGCTGATCAAAGTCGGCCGAGAAGATGCTTGTGCGGTCGGCAACCTCGACGAGATCGTCGAGGCTGGAGTACCCATCGTTGATCAATTCGTAAAAGCCCGTCGTCAGAGTTTCGAGGAGTGCCTGTGCAGCCGCGTCCGGCTGATGGCTCCTCTTGTTGATGTGCCACGTTGTCGGCATCACGAGGTTGAAGTGAGGATGCTGCAATTCCCTCCAGGAGGTGAGGATGTCGCACCTAACTCGTGCATTACAGTTAGTCTCATCTCGCAACACTCAGGGAATCGTTATTGGTACGTACACTTGGATGACAATGGCCAAGCTCTTCCGTCGCAGCGTGCGCAGCCCTCCCCATCGGTCCACAATGGCATACACGGCATTGAGATGTTCCATGCCAGTGTCCATATTTGCGTAGTAGTCAACGTCATGGAGATGGGACAGGAAAGGCAGGGTTTGTCGCTTGTAAGATTCATGACCCTTCAAGTTTTCGCCCGTGCCGTGAGACGCCAGCGTAATTATGCCTAGAAGGGCCTCCTCAGACACGTTGTCGCCATTTTCTTGGATATAGTCGAGGAGGGACCTGATGGCCTTGGATTTGTACGTGAGCCTGAGCTGCTCGTTCCGCTTGGTCGTTCCTCGATCCCCGTACTGGTACGCATTGTGGGTAGCGCCCGCAAAGACGATCGTGTACCAAGTCACTGGACAGTGGATGACAGACTGCATGATCTCGGTTCTGGCGGCGCTGACTCCTCCGCCGTCCGACAGACACATCTCCGTCCAGTGACATGTGATGGCATGGTCGAGCATCTCGTGAACGTAAAGTGGCACGGCCCCAGTCTCGCCGATGGTGTGGAATGGATCGGATCGACTTGCGCCCAGCAGGATCTTGACAGGCGATTCCCGCTTGGCCTTCAGTTCCAGGACCGCTGACTCATCTGTCGAGGTCGTGGAGTTGGACTTGTTCGCCTTGCGAGCGCCATGCGCCTGTTGGGCTTTGGTTTTGGCCCTGCGCAATTTGGCCTTTTTGTGATATTCGCGCGCGGCATGTTGCGTTCGGGTCACTCCTTCGTCTGAGACACTCTTCTGGGCCCGCCCTTCGCCGTCACATTCGATAAACAGGACCTTCATTGCGACGGGTGATGAGTTTCGTCCTGCTTTCGTGGCGTCGACAGTCGCAGACGCATCATGGCGATTGAGCAGCTACCTAGTTCATCTTCACGAGGGGACGCCCTTGATAATCGGGCAACCGTTGACACACCACGTGTTCAGCACCAGGTGTGCCGACATGTCGCCTGGGCAAAACAGGAATAGCCAGAGCGGTTTCCTTGTTTGGAGGTGATTGTCATTGGCGAGGCCGTGTTCTTCAGCGGTCTGGAGCTGAGAACCCTTGAACTTTTCTGCCTCGCTCATAGGCCCATGTTTCGCTTGTGGCTTTTGTCTTTGTTTGACGCAGGGCTGGTTCAGCCGGTGAATCGCAAGCCACACCGGCCGGTAGTTGAGCGGCGGGCGCAATCTCCTTGGAATGTCCTGAATGCTGCAATAATCAAGGGCTAGATGAAGAGGCATCTGCCTCTTCAGCCAGATATTCCCAGTGATGCTTCGGCAGTCTTTCAAATAAGTTAGGCACAACCTCAGCTTGCGCAGAAAACAAGCCTTCGAGGAGAAAACATCAAGATCAGCCCAGAGCTGGTAAGCGATGCTGTAAGTTCACACTACTCACCCCTGCTAGCCACTTTCAGCGCCTCGTACACGTCTGGAGCCAAAGCCGACAAATCCCATTCCCCTTTCCACACAACCCCACCGATACAAGTCCAGTACTCGCAAGTGTGTTGTTTCGATGGCCGATCCTGTGTCTAGGTATCTGCGGCTCATCAGGTCTTTCAAACCTGATCCACACGATGGCCATCTGAGAGCATCACGCATGGGAAGTTCCTCGCTGACCTGACTGCATTCAGTGCTACTTCCTGGAAATGTACGGGTTGTAGTTGGGTATAAGAAGAGTCAAAGATCTTCAGCGCTGTGGTTCGTGAGATTTTAATCCAGATGTTGCACCGCTAACTGATCATGGTCCACAAAGGACAAATGCATCCAGCGTGACGAGTGTCGACAGAGCTCTATGCCCAGTTCTGCCACAACGGTTCGTCAAGACACTCAAAGAAGCTGAAAGTATCTGGCAGCAGCGCAGACTCGAACGGCAGTCCGGGCAATTCGACTCCGACGTCACAATCCTGACTCTCTGGCTGAGCCTTTCTGGATTGTTCTGCTCGCCTCGCCTCGTGCACGGCCTTGATGTCTTGTATCTTGGCCGGCACCGTCAGCCAGATCGGTGGCACACAGCGCGGCAAAGTGTTTTGTAAAGCTGTGGCGTCGGCCGCCGAGTGATTGGTTTGGAGAAACTCGCTTGCTTCTCTGGTCTTCTTCGAGAGCCGGTCCATCACATCGCCAAAATTTAGACATGACGCAACGTAGTTCTGGTCCCAGCCCTCATGCTGACAGAGAGCAAGTTTGGACAAGTCCACGAAGAGGTGGCTGACGATGGTAAATATGCAGTATGGGAGGTCGAAATATATCGAGGAAGGCAACGAGTGGAAAAGCTCAAAGAAATTCTTTGCGGATGTGAGACAAGCGAACAGCAGGTCGAGACGCGTGGTGGAGAATGACCCATATCTCGACGCAGAAATGTTTTCATCTAGAGCGATCTCGCACAAAAATGTCTCGACCGCGTGGTAGTGCATGAGAAGTAGCACTTCTTATCATTAGCAAGGCAGACATGTTTGTCTCTGAAGGAGGTTGAAAGCTCACCACTTTGGGCAATGTCAAGCGTCATGGAAGCTTTATACTTGCGCAGCTCAGTTTCTAGTGACTTCACGTAGGCTCCGATTGGAGCAGAAATACTGGAAGAGGGATCCCAATCTCTTTGGATAATTGTACGGCTTATTTTGTCGACAAAATAGCTTAGCCTGGTGAGCTGGACAAGGTAGATGTCGCTCGGAAGCTCAGCTGCTTCGGATATTATCGTATAGCACTCTTCAGTGTACTTGGTATATCGGATGGCTTCGAAATCTCGGGCAGTCATCGATATTCTGGAATTCGAGCATTGGCATCAGCGGCTTCACAGTTCTCCTCAATGGGATACATACAGAGAGGTCAAGTAAAAGCAACCAAGATAAGTTCGACGGTCTTCCAGCGTTTCCCTTGCTCCCTCTTGTCGGTCCAAGCGGAAATAGTCCCTTTGAGGCTTCGCATACTTTCGCGGGACATAGTGCTTGTTCAGGCCGAGATCAATCATCACCGACATGACCAGATGGACGATGACTGTGAGTTGGCCTCCGAGGTGGATGTTTACATTATACCTTGTGACGTTAGTTCAACCTCGCTGCCTCGATGGGTACGACGTGTGAGTATACCAAGCCAGGTAAATGAGAAGGCCCTGTAGCAAGTCCAGGCTCTGTTCACCGTGAGTCATCACCTTCTGGCCGATGAGTTCTTTGAGCGCCTTCCCCAACGCCGTCTGTCGTGTTATGTCGTGTCGGCAAGTGACCAACATAACCACCATCAGGAGGAAGGGCTTTCGTTCCCGAAGCTCCTCCAGACTCGTATGCGGTTGGATGACGACGAACGGGAAATAAGGCATGAATTCGTTCCGGAACACGTCCAACATCAGTCGCGCCTCATCCCTGCTCTTGATAAACTGGTCGAAGCATGCGGTCAAGGAGAGCAATGGCACCGTGGGCAGTTGCAGCGGGCTGTTGGTGGTTTTCAAGGCTCCAAGCTGAGAGGCAGTCAGGATCGCCGTCACCCCGTCGAGCTTTTGTTCCAGACGGGTGACATCTCTAATCCGAAGGAGATCAGGATATCTGTCAACCGGAAGAGTCGCATGGTATCAAGCTGAAGATCATCACCTACGATTCCTGTCGAGGCTTGCGCCTGTGTGCGCCAGGTGGCTGTGCGCGACATGCCTTCTTCAGCCTCAGGCACCTAACCCCACGCATTATTAGCCGCCACCGGGTTTTTGCGCGAGTGTCGACTCTACCATACCGCTTGCAGAATATTTGTCCATTCTCAGTCTCACATCGTACTTTGGCGGCGGCACATGGCACACAGGCTCTCGGAGCGCGGATGCCACTGAGATCGTTTCCCTGACTCGGTGATTGGGGCATACCGCGCATACCGTGGCATTCGTACCGGGATATCTGGTATGACAAGCATCAGGGCGAACGGGGACAAAAGAAAGAGATGGTTCTCCGACAGTCTAGTCCGAAGGAGCAAAGCAAACTCTGAGGAGAAGAAGGATGTGATTCAAGTACAGGCCGCAGGAACGGAAATTCCGATGCCGAGCGATCGGCTGACTGAGGAGAAAAATTAAGTTAGTCTGACCGTCAGATTCTGCGCCTCAATGCTCGTTTTATGCGGGAAAATGGGCTGTCAGACTGGGCGTCATTTTCAACCTTGCTACGCGCATCTAGCCAATCAGAGTAATTCCTCAGTGGGTCGAGTATATAGATCGGACACGGAGCAGCATCCAGTAGACGCAATGAAGGCATAAAAGGAGAAAAATTGACTCGTACTATCTTCCCAGAGTCATTCAGCTATTAAGCAAGATCCAATATGATATCTTTGGCCATTTCTGAGGCCTCGTCCAAGGACGTAAAACCGGAGAGCGACAATGCTGTTAGCCTCGAAGGTGACACCAGCACCACCGAGCAGACGACGCAAATGGACGGCACGAGTACAAAAGAATCATCTCCTACTACAGAGGTCAGTCAAAAAAAAGAACCAGACTCAACAGATGCCCTGGGTTTTCGAAGACACATTCTTTTCGCCGCAGTTTTTATTTCGACCCTGCTCATGGCCCTCAACGGTTCGATCATTTCGACGGTAAGCCAGGGACACGTTGATTCGGTGAGATAAGGTACATGCTGATGCATGAGATGTAGGCCATTCCACAAATCACAACACATTTCAACTCTCTCAAAGACATTGGCTGGTACGGAAGTGCTTATCTGGTGACAACGTGAGTCCCCCTCTGTGTGTTCTGGTCGGACAAGTGTCTAATCTCACCACAGGTGCGCTATGCAACCTCTTGTCGGCAGAATTTATACCCATTTTCCTATCAAAGTGAGTAGAAGCATCCTCCTGTAATGCTCCGCGCTGCTCACGAGTCGTTCAGTACACGTATCTCACATTCGCTGCCATCTTTTCCATCGGATCTCTGGTTTGCGCCACTGCCCCTTCATCCATGGCCCTCATCATCGGCAGAGCTGTGCAAGGGTGTGGTGGTGCCGGCATTATCAATGGAGCCTTTGCCGTAATAGCTGCGGTGGCTTCCAAGGACAATCGGCCTTGTGAGAACATCATCATGGATCCTTCCACAAAGGGTGCATATAACTGACATCGATTTCAGTACTCATAGGTATCGCTATTAGCCTGTCATCGTAAGTGCTTCATTCAGGGTTATTCTTGATAATCCAGAGGAAACCATCATGTGGCGATAGTATTGACGACATCCGTGTAGGGTTGGGACCGTCATCGGGCCTCTGGTTGGCGGTGCTCTGACACAAAATGTCTCGTGGAGATGGTGTAAGTGGTTTCTTCTTGATTGCTCATCTCAGGTCCGCTGATGTTCATAGGTTTCTATATCAATTTACCACCTAGCGGCCTAGTGATTTGCGCCCTCATCTTGTTGCCAATTCCGGAACAGATCAAGAAGCAGCCCGTGAGGGCCAACTTCAAAGCCATCGTCACGAAAGAGCTCGATCTCATGGGATTTGTTATCTTCGCCCCAGCCTGTGTCATGTTACTCCTCGCAATGATATGGGGTGGCAACCAGTACCGATGGGACTCCTCCGTCATCATCGGCCTCTTCTGTGGCGCGGCTGGCACAACCGCCGTCTTTGTTGCCTGGGAGACTTTCAAGGGCGAAAAGGCCATGATACCTCCGGCAATTGTCAAGAATCGGCTTGTGATCTTTGGGTGTTTGACTTCGTTCCTTCAAATCGGCGCCCTGTTGTCGCTAAGCTACTATCTGCCGGTGTGGTTTCAGGTTGTCAAGGACGAAAGCCCGTTAATGAGTGGGGTAATGGTACTTCCTACGGCCATTGCGCAGGCCATAGGGGGCATAACAGCTGGGAAGCTAGGTGGGCCGCCGCATCTTATATCTTGAGAAAGTGTTCGCTCACTGTCGTACAGTCCAGATCGTTGGCTACTACACACCATGGGCACTTCTCGGTTGTGTTCTGACCTCCATTGGGTCCGGGCTGATGACCACATTCACCCCTTCCACTGGCGCTGGACCCTGGATCGGGTACCAGATACTTGCAGGAACGGGAAGAGGCTCCGTGGTACAAATGGTGAGGCCCTTCTTCAATGTTCAGCGTGTCTCGACTGACTGTCATACCTTAGCCACTCACCGCAATCCAGAACCTTTTGCCGCCAAAGGAAGTCTCGATAGCAACCTCGCAGATCTTCTTTTGGCAGTACCTCGGAGGAGCCATTTTTCTCGCCGTCGCCGAGACGATTTTCACAAACTCGCTGCGATCATCGCTGAGGACTTATGTCCCAGGTATCAATCCCGAGAGCGTCATCGACGTGGGTGCTGCCGCCGTGCGATCGAGCGTGCCCCGTAGTCAGCTCGAAGGCGTCCTCCGCGCGTATAACCACGCCCTAGTGTCCACATTCGTGAGTTTGAGGCCCTACAACAGCTTGCTTCTGGGATGGCGCCACCTGAACTAATCATGACCTAGTATATCGCTGTCGGGGCCTCATCTGCTGCGTTTCTAACGAGCTTCGGTATGGGTTTCCAAAGGCTGCCCAAAAAGGAGAGCAAGAAGAAATCTGGGGGGAACGATGTGTAGGCGTCCCTCGGGAATCGCCCAAATGGTCCCTCGCATCATTCTGTACGCCTACACGACGCGTGGTCGAATTTAAAGGTATTGCAAGTTGTTCCAATTTGTGATATCGTCTGCTCCATGTACAATATTTCAAAATAGACTTGCTAAGAGATTGAACTCTGGCTGCAGAGCGGGCAAGGGTTAGCCTTTGACAAATTGGGAAGGGGAAACAGGGTCGAGGTTGGCAATTCCTGGGTAGCAAGTCATTTCGATGCGATAGATGCTCGGTCCCTGCCAGCCCCAAATCCATTCATGTACCGAATATAGTGTCGAATCACCGTTCATGTCCACTCCAGAACGATACAGCACAAATCGCCGCCACTTTCCTGCAAACGAAGCATCACCGAAGTTTCGTGCTCGGATCGCTGAAAGTCCAACTCGTCTCCAGCTCGGAGATCTTCGAGTTTGACACCATGACTTGCTGCACTCTTATCAATCTCGCTGCCTGTTCTCAAGCTTACTATCCCATTACGCGGGGGCTGGATTTCAACCACGACTTCCAGGCCCGGAAGGTTGATGAGATGAGGCCTGTCGGAGCTGATATGAATGGGGCCGCGGCTGTTGGACGTGAGAGTGGAGCTGGTCACTGTGCTTTCAGAGTGGGTGTCGCTCACGACCGGGCCCTGAGAAGGTGGTTGTCCTGGCGTGCCGCTTCCACTGTGCGTTCGGGTCTCTGTCTTCAGACTCGAGTTCCACCAAGAGTCTGTTGTTGTGGTTGTCCCGCCGTCAGACTGTGGTGTGGACTCTTCATTGGCAGGGATTGGGTTTCTTGATGTACCAGAAGCTCTTGAATGACGCGTGGAAGAGACCCTGGTGCCTGCGTTATTTGCATCTGCGGTTGGCAGCAGGCTCGACTCTGTGTCGAACCGTGCGCTCAGTAAGGTCGATAGGGGCGAAAAGGTCGGCATCTCGTACAAATTCTGTCGGCTTGTCAGGGGGTGCTGACCGCGCCGTGAATGTCTCTTCCTTCCCAAAAGCGAGCAATCCCGATTCATTCTCCTTATAACCGCCCTCAGCGCTTCAACATGTCCCGGCGTGTACTCTGCAAGATCTGGCACGGTCCACTGATCGTACAGACGCCCATGTGTAGCGGTCACAACAAAAGCACCGAGTCTCTTGATGAAGAGATGACAGAGGAAGCATGTTTCTTTGCTGGTACCTATGACTCGTGGGAGTATCAGGGGTGGTGAGAGAAGATAATGTACAACCATCTGTAATTCTGCATGGACGTAACAAAGGGTCTTCTTTCCGGAGAGGCATATCGGGCTTGTTCGAGGTTCATATGGGTCGATGTAGAGCGACTTGATATTTGAGAACAGGTGCCTCGTCTTCCTCCTGCGGGCTTCTCTGGCCAAGGTCTGTGGGATTCGGTGATATGCGCCCAGCTTGTCGACCTGCGTGATGTACTTGTTGTTGAACCATTCTTGAGCATTCAAACCGGCGTTTTCGAGATTGTGACGGAAAGGTACTTGTCCATCGGAGGTGGTGATGCTGAAGCTCTCTTTCACGATCTCCTGCAGCCCCCACTCCGGCTGTGATGCCCCTGAGTGCAGCACGCTTTCGACCATCCTCCTTAGCTCAAACAGTCTTCTGACCAGGTCGGTGGCAGCGGGTGTAGAAGCGGCAGCTTGCATTCGAATCAACGCCTTTTCGGAACCAGATGTCGAGGAACTTATTGACCCCCTTCTGCGTGGACGAGATGATGAAGGACGTTCCCCGAGAAATAATCTCATGCGAGACAAAATGCGTTCCTGTGACAGACCCAGTATCAAGTCCGATAAGGTTGATGTACACTTCTCGAGCCTCATCTCTGTGAGATGGTTAGAAATGTAAGATCCAGTGAGGGTGTCAGTACTGACGACTTCTTGCGCAAGACATCAAGCATTCACATATTTCACCCAGAGAACGTTGGATTTCTCCTGGCACCCCTTCAGTTGCAGCAACACGTATGATGAGACCCGCAGGCTCTGCAATCTCCTCCACACAAACAGCTGTGATACTGTCACCACCCTGTTGGGTTGCCAAGATAAATGCAATGTCATCTGCAAGGCGTTGCTCTGTCTTGAAGGATAATGTCCGAGATCCTGTCGCAGGAGGTATGTCTTGAGTACTGGTTGACCATGACACCGAGTACCTCGCATCGCCCGGGACACCCTTGGTTGCTGCAGAAAGTGCGACAATCCTTCGACGGAAAGCATCTTCTGGTACATCCTGCCATATTGAGTGTTGATGTTTCGCAGTCTGCACTGGTCTTCCAACAGACATAATGTTATACGGTGATCTTGCCGATGAATCTCTCATCGAAAGAAACACTCACATGCTGCAATATCAGGTACGGGAGCGGTCGGTGTGAAGTTCATATGACATCCAACGACCAGTGAGGGATCGCCAGCTGGCATCGACAAGTCATGACGCCGAGATTTGTGATTGGCTCGCTTAGTAGACGTAAGCGTGTTGGGTCTTAATGTTGTAAGGACGCCCAATGTTGGAGATCTGATCGTGGCACGTCGTGCGCCGAACAGCTCATCTTCGATAGCTAACCACTGTGGCTGAAGGGACGGTTGGAGTGAGTCGGTGAGGCGAAGCCTTAGCCTGCCCTGCCTGCTCAGCTTGTGAGCTGGATGAGGATCCGTTCGGGATTTCTTCGCTGATGATTTGCCCTAATAACCAATCCCCAACACCAGCGTAGGATGTCCTCTGCCAATAGGATCCCCGTCAGTCATCTGGGTCCACCCTGATACCCTTGGACCGCCCTGATCTTCTCCGGCCATCTAATTGCTTTGCTCTTGGACCATTCGATTGCTCTTCAACTATTCGTTTCCCTTTACACACAAATATCTGCTGCTTCGGACACACAGCATAGCTGAGAACACCTCTCTCAGAGATATAGCATATCTCCTGTCTTACACAGACCATGCGTTTTGTCGTCGTGTACTGATCTCTGGAATTGTTCGCAGCAGCAGCCTCAGACCTTGTAATACAGTAGAATTCCATCATGGTTCAGACTTCGCGAATTCGACCCTAATATCAGCCAAGTAACCTCACCGGCTTTTCAAGTGCGTTCGTCGTGAGGAAGGCTGACCGATAAGAGTGCTGGGTAAGTGCCCATTCACGTTGAAGATCTTGGCTGAACACTCGGAAGACATCAAAGCACTGTGTATTTTTAAGCATTTTCAGTTTTTCAATGACGAATGCCTGGTCTTGTCGAGAAGTAAGCTGAGGAGCAATCATTCCAAGAGGCAGTAATATGGCTGTGTTGAATTGCGAATCATCAGATAGCAAGCGAAAGAGTCCCATGGCCCGCTTCACGTGCCTTTTGATCTGTTTATGGGCCATGAACGGCGGATATGCAAGGGTAGTCGTAGTTTCTGGGAGGCCATCACGGTCCCTGAGTTGCTTGAAGAAGTAGATTCGGCTCGCGAGGCGGTAGATTTCTCCTATGACGAATTCTTCGTCTTTCTTTGCACCATCGTCAACGCCAATTGTAGAGCACGAGGGCTCTTCATGTTCTGTAGCTTTCCTTTTCATGCTGAAGCTTGGGAGGAAGTCCAATTTCCCATCCCAGCAATCGATGTCAAGCGTTGAGACATGCTGGACATTTTCGCTTATACGGTAAAGTAGATCCGCGAAGTTTGGATTTGACCGGTGGGACAAGTTCACGAATGTGGTCTCCTCAAGACTGTTACAAGACGGCGAGGTCAACCTTGCGTCAGCTACCAGCGCCAGGAGTTGGTTGTAAGAAACAAGGTCGTGCAGAAATAGGTGAAGCGGTGATGAAGACGGCACTTCATGATTTCGTGCAGTGCCTCCACGGCTCAAAAACTCTTGTGCAAACTCTAGATAGGGTTGTATGTTGCCATAGACTTCTCCAGACAGCTTTCCAAAAACGGCCAGCAACGCTGCGGTAGTGACAAGGCATAGATCGTCAGCCTCCACTTTTGTAATCTGGAAGAAAGTGCTGTCACCCTCTGGGTTTGATTTTAGGGTGTCAAGTCTCCGGGTCCTGCTCGAAATCTGAAGGCAGGCCTTCAACGCCCGAAGTCGCAGATGAGAGATCTCGTGGTCCAAAGACGGAAGATTCCTTGACTTGGCATGCAGTCCTGCAATTGCCATCAGAATCCAACGAACGGGCTCATACTCGATCGCAGCAGGAGCGAGACATGACAGGAACGGGTTGTCTGCCTCTGAGTGCGTGGGATATATTCTTGCAAAGCAATTAATGTAATGGTCCCAGAGGACATGCTCGAGAAAGGAGTTTGCGATTGTGGTCGGGGGATGATGCGGTATTGTAGCAGGATGTTGCCAACTAGGAGCAAGTCGGAATTGCTTGCGTTGAGGCAGTGCGAGTGACGTGCAATTCACGAGGTCTAGGACCAACACGTCTGCCTCCTGGTTCTGTTCGTCGGTATTTGCCGTCAGAGCCTCTTTGTCATGGTGCCCAATATTACTGTGTAGATGAGCTCTGCGGGACGAGGAAGGGCCTCTGCGCCTAATACCTTGTCGTACAGGGTCATCTTCCCAGAGGAGTCGTGGCTTGTACCCTCCGCATGCGATCTGCAGACGGACACAGTTCTCGCATGAAGGGGTCCCCAGATCGCATTTCTTTTTCCTGGTTGATCTCGCAGACAATCAGTTGTTGTATTTGCACGAGCCGCGGGTTCATCCCATATCCACGGCACCTACCTCTGTTTACACGTCAAACATCCACCTCTTGCGCGTTGTAGTCGAGCCATATTGGTGACGGCTTTTGCCTGCCACCTCGAGAGGGTAGGTCTGACGTATGGAGTAAGCGTGGTCACACTCCCAGGTAGACTATAGCGATACAGGTCATGATGTTGCGTGTCCTTATCTGCAATTGATTGACAATTCCGCACTCGGACAAAGCCGTCCTTGAGGTGATGGACATGACCGCAGGCAAATGCGTCGAGTCGCTCAACATCGAACGACGAAGAGAGTCTCAAGATACAGGTCGTACGATTAAGGGATGTATTTCTCGGATAGAGGGTAGAGGTCATGTCGTGGTGTCGTAGGGCGCAATATTGGGTTTGACGGGGACAGGTGAACCTCTTTGAGCATCGAGTGAGGTTGACCAGGCGACGTGCTAAGAGCCATGACTGAACTGTAGCCTGGACAAAGCTGACAACTGGGTGTCTAGGCTGATCAGAGATACCTCAATCAAGACTTTGACATACCAAGTGAGGGATTCCAATGCCTTTGCAGGCCGTGGTGGCTCTGGGCGGTTAGTATCCCCCGAATATGGCATAGTGCCTCTTCCCAAAGTGGCGCCGCTTTCCAACGGACACGTAGTGATCCCATTGCGGTCACATCGTGAATTTTGGCGGTACTGCACTCCAGGAGGTACAAATATCACAGAGCGATTCTTGGAACAAGATCTGTCTGTTCTCCCAGTTCTCTCTCTTCACTCCTCCACTCGATCAAGTGATACAGACCTTCGCGCAAGCAGATATACGACCAAAAGACAGCATGGCTCCGGGAATTCTCGAGTACCCTGCGATTGATGGACCAGCACTGGCTTTGAAATCAAACACCACGAGGTCATCCAGACGGACATTTGATCCTGTGAAGCATCTTACGTATGCGCCGCCGAAGAAGATCCATACTTTGGAAGATCTTTGTCTACCGCCTTCGCCGATTTCGCAAGTCGCATCCACCGACCCATTCCCTTTGCTGTCCGAAGAGGCTCTGCTTGAGCACCGCCGAGAGTTGCTGTCCGACGATGTCCTTGATAGCTGCATGTATCACACGCGGGACAAATCGGTTCAACTCCGTGGCATGGCCCCCAGATATGCTCCTTTCATTCATCAGTTCTGGACTTCTCCAGAGGTTCTCAAGATAGTCAGCGATCTAGCAGGAGTCGACCTGGTACCTGTCATGGACTTCGAGATCTGCCACACGAACGTCCAGTTGGGGCCAGAGGGTCTGGCAGGAGTCAGAGACATCCCGATTATCCCACCTGGTGCTCCTGTAGCGGAAACAATGTCAGCAATCCAGGAAGGGCCCGAAGAGCCTCTAGCGGCTGCCAAAGAGTCAGTCGTCCCCTGGCATCGCGATTCATATCCTTTCGTCTGTGTCGTTATGTTGTCCGACACGAGGAATATGAAAGGAGGCGAGACCGAGATCCAAAGAGGTGATGGCACGACGATCAAAGTCCGATCTCCGCAGATGGTGAGTTCATCGCCAGAGCGCCCCAATGCTTGAGGCGTTAACCACTGACAAGGCCGGGAACAGGGCGGCGCGGTGGTTCTCCAGGGCAGACACGTGTCTCACATGGCGATTCCGGTCGAGAACATGCCCGAGAGAATCACTATTGTGGCCTCTTTCCGGCCCCGGGATCCTGTGCTGTTGGACGACTCCTCGTTGATGAATGTTCGAAATAAGTCTCGGCTGTCGGAGATGTACTACCAGTGGACCAGCTACCGCTTGCATCTGCTCGCCGACAGATTCCGATTCGAAGCCGAGAAGCTTGATGCAGCATATCGGGGAGCAATTGAGGAAACCGATCAAGGGAGACCAGGGGATTGCAAGAAAAACGTTGTCGACGTGGAGAAGCTTGAGAGTTGGATGGAAAAGCAAATGAGATATATGAGACGAACCATGTTTGAGATGAGACCGATCACTGCAGACGACAACATCACCAAGAACGAGATTGAGGAAGTCTAGCTTTCGATATGGGGGCTGGACGACAGGTTATTCCAACTTTACCTTTCATGGCGTCAAGATACTTCCTTCGATAGACATGTTCCCCTTCGAGCAAGCCAGTATCTAGAGCCTGCGTTTTCCCGCCCAATTTTACATTCAACACCCTCCTCTTCTTAGTGTGCCTCGGTATTCCCATCTCTATTGAGATTCCATCATTTAGCCTTTCCCACGAATTTTCCAGTGCCTCTTATTCCATCGATGGCATCTCAAAACACGGTCGCGGAGAGGAGGGTATGCCGGAAGCGCAGCGAAGGTCATCGTGGAGGTTCACCGTCAGGGTACAGATCTTGACCAGGGAACCGGGTAACGCTCAGTCCATTTCAATCTCAAAAATTCCGCGTACCGGTTCAATGGTTTCTCTACTTTGAAAGTTGTCGAGCGAATCGACGGGGAGCTCATACAAGCAGAGAGGCCTTCGCTGGTGATTAAATTGTGCCAAGGCCAAGATTCTCAAGAAGCCTGGGATCTCAAAGTGGCATGCGCAGACACAATCTTCCACAATTAAATTTTAAGAGCCTGGGAAAGTGCAAGACCAAGAGGCATCC